TTGCCAATCGTGATTATGTATACAGTCGTAGATATATTATAGACGACGAACATAAACTTATCATGATATGTAGTCGCGGTATTACTCATCCAAATTTTCCTGTGTCAGATGAAAAAGTACGTGTTGATAACTATTGGAGTTACATGGTTATATCTCCATTTGGAAAATTTAATGAACCAGGAGTACATTTCGTATTGACATATTATGACGATCCTGGAGTTGCACTGCCAGAGAAAATTAAATCTTGGGTGACACAACAACAAATGCCAGACTTTTTGCGTAGAATGTATGAAGCAACAAAAAACTATTCAGAAAAGCGGACCTTAAAAATGAATAGATTACGCAATAGAGGAGAGTTAAGCTTAACAGCTGTCCCATACAGTGCCAATGTGGTAAATTCGAATTTTTTATGGCGCATTGGAAATGAAAAATCTAATGAAAAATAAGTTTTGTTATAATTTTATTTGAATATCTTTTAGTTTTCATATTGGAAATGGAATAAGAAATTTATTTATATTTTTATTTTTGTAACCAGTTTTATATTAATTAAAATTTAAAAAGAAAAAACATAATTTAATTGTGCTAAATAAAAAACAATGTAGACCTTGTAGTAATTATTTATTCAAAACAAATAATAAATCAAGTGCAATGTTATTGTTAATTATATTTATTTAATTATTTCTTTACTATTCAAGTTTTCAATTAAATATGAATTTCATATATTTTAAATGAAATAAAATTTGGATTTATTAAATAATGCATTTTATTTTAATAGAATAATAGTTGATTTAACCTAAGTTACAGAAATTCAGGTTATATTTTGAACATATTCCACGTACTTATTCTTCAGAATGTTAAAAACTTAGTATTATATGTTAAAGGATTGTTAAGAGCGAACCAGTAGCGTCTAAGTTTCAAATATATGACAACATTAAAAACGAATAAAATAGATTAACAGAGCCTATCATCGTCGTCTTCAAACAAAACGTATCCAATTCGAGATAACAAATCTCTCAATAGATTTCCGCCTAATATCCCCTGGGAGAGAAGACGCCTCCCACGTGCGGCAAGAACTGTCTTAACTCATCAATTGAGATATAACAGTTAACATTATCATGTGCTAAACAATTTCTTATTACGGATAAGTGTTTCACTTCTCAATGTGTGCAGCTCTAGTCCATCATGATGTTGCCCATTTGTTTTTTTTATTCCAGTGCACACACTAACTTGAGTCCAATGGATGTTTGAAACAGCTTTATGGAAAGATTTATAGTTTTCATTAAATTTTAATGCAGTTGGATATTTATTGTATAAGGAAACGATATTGTAAATTATTTTACTATAATTTCACAATAGTATGCCGAATTTCAATAGTTTATGACGTTATCTCACAATGTACTTAGTTAAAATTAATATCATAACTTATAACTATTCCAATATGTTAGATGTAGTAGGTTTCGCCAACTCTAAGTGTTAGGCTGATAAATATAAGATATATATATGTTTAAGAAGTACTATAAGAAAATTGATATTTCCAATTATGTATGTATTATAATTATTACTTAATTATGAGTATGAAGTATACTCATCGTAGTATAACATGATGTATTGAGACCACATTACTAGTAAGAGGTCAGAGTTTTAGGGATTGAGACGTCAGGCGGTAGGTTATACAATCGGTTGAAGTACTACCGGGGGAGCGTCAGGAGGTACTCGTCGATACAAGTAATCTGAGGTTTCTTGTACAGGACACATCTTGCCATCATGCTTGAACTTAAAGTTAATCGTAGCTGTAATCTTAATATTGTAAAATTTAGTCAGTAATTTTGATCTAAATATATCGTTTAGTATATTAGTGTTTAGCATTTAATATATGTAAATATATTGTTTAAAAATAAGTAAATAAATACAATTTATTAAATATATAGAATTTATTAAATGAATATAATTTATTAAATAAATATAATTTATTATTTATTATTTAATAAATAAATATAGTTTATGAAATAAATAAATATAATTTATAAAATATAAATATATTTTTGTGCTTTTTAAACAAATATTTTCAACAAATTTCACAAAAAGTAATTTATTTCATTAATTGATTATTATTGTTTTTTTTATTATTTGTTATATATATTTTATTATTCTTCGTCGTTTATATTGTATTATTGTTGTATTATAAACATCAATAATTTATAGTAGTCTGAAGTTGACTATATTTGATTTTGACTATTTTTTAATTATTCGTTATATATATTTTATTATTATTATTTTATTATTCTTCACTTCGTATGTATTGTATTACTGCTGTATTATAAACATCAATGGTCTATTGTAGTCTGAAGATATTTATTTACAGGTTTGATTTAAACATTTGACCAATTACCCAGCTTAAAAATGTATTGATTGATAAAGTTAAAACAGTTTATACACAAATTATAAATTCTTAATTTACTAATTTTTCTAATTTTAAATCTTATAATCTTATTTCAAAAGTAATTTGTGTAAATGTGGACTAATCTAACTTACAATCCACATATTCACAATAGGAATTGTATTTACATAAAAATTATGGTGAACATTAAAAACTATCGTTCGTCACATAGTAGATGAAGTCAAAGGCAAGAAACAGTTGATAATATCAATTCAAGGTGAATGTGTCGAACGCTACGCGGTGAAAAAAACAAAAATCTGTTTAAAACAAAAAAGAACAAAAATAAAGTGTAAGTGAAAAGCCGGTTAGTATATTAATTTGTTATTTAAAAAGTATGTTCTATTATTGGGATAATAATATTGTATGAGCTTTTTTCTGAAATTTTACAAATTTAACTTAGAATACATATTAAATGTATAACAATTTTACAAAAACCATGGAAACGATTTTATTTTAATAGTGTACTAAAAAAAATGCAATACAAACATATTTGGAATCAGTTTTGTAATGCCAACGTGTAACTATAACTATATTATTGAAAATAAATTAAGTATTATTAGAACAATTTAAATATAATTTACATTGAAGTACTAACTTGTGTATATATGTTTGCAAAGATTTACATGAAAACTTAGAAGAGAGCACTATGACAAATATGATCTCTACTGCGTATCTGATCTGAGCTGATCTTAAGTAAAAAGAAATGTTCTAATTAGAATGTTTAAATATTTTAAATTTTATAGTTTGATTTGTTTTTGTTTGCAAATAATGTTATTATATTTTACTGGCTTAAAAGTGTGATAATAATTTTTAACGTAAAATATAACGATAGTTAGTTTCTAGAAAAATCTTACATATTATACTTCCATAAAATTTTATTGTGCATTTTATTTTCCCTATCTTTCTTTTCTCCACCAACCGACTGTAGTCAAACAACTTTATGAGACTAAATTGAGTTTGCACGAGCCAGATGTGTTTGTGTATACACGTACATATTTATTTAGACTGCAAGAGCAGCAAATAAGCAAACAAATAATAGATTTGTTTTAAAAAAAAAAAACACATTTTCTTTTTTTTTAATATATTGTATATATGTATGTAAATAGTTAATGAAGAAAGTTTAGTATAAGCATAAATGATTTTTCTTAATTAACACTGAAGTTGTTAAGAATTGTAAAAAGTTTCATGCTAAACCCAACTAAATTGCTTAACTAACTAACTACTATTTATGATTTCTTCAAAGATTTATGCAAAAGCTAAAAACTAACAATAGGAAACTAGTACAAATGTCAGTGCACTTTATTGTGCATAGAAAACATAAATGCACATCAATGTGCATACATGCATATAAATCTGCATACATACGAATGGGTATGTGTAGGTAGTGTCATTTTAGCGTTTAATACGATTTAACCGGTTGTTTGACAGTAGAAACCTTGGTTTCGGTTATTTACATAAGAACTTAAAGAAGCACATGTATGCATCTCCAGTTACAAGAAAAAATAAAAGTTTTGATAAAAATCAATAAATAAACAAAAGTTTGTCTGTTTTAATATTACTAAGGCAATTGTTTATTAAATAACAAATTTTCTTATTACCTTATTACCTAAGCTATTTTCCCACACCCCTCCTTGCTATTTTAGAAAAATGAGACATATTTAATTTTTATTATATTTACTCTGTAATTCAACAATACATACACAAAATTATATAAACAATAGAACTAAAGTGTTTGCGTTTCTGGCTTTTTATTGTTTTTTATTACATTATTTTTTTGCTTAGGTTACACTCATCTTGACATAATTAAAAAATGTGTACATACACATATGATACAGAATTTGCTTATCACGGATAAAAATTCTGTGCCTGTGGTCACGTTTTTTTTTTTGTTTCACTTATTGCCCTTTTTCCAACTCATACTCATGCCACCCTACAATTGTGCAATCCAAATGATCATTAACATAGTGTATGCCTCACCTCATTTTACTTTTCATTGTAATTCCTTTTCACATGCTTCGTTATCTCTTATCAAGTAAATTTGTTTTGCTTTGCTTTGCGTTTGTTTTTGTTTTTGTTTTTATTTTTGTTATAAAATCCGTTGAGGAAAGCAAAATATAATAAAAACAAATGAGGGCAAAAGCTACAACCGAACTAAAACAGATGCCGGGAGGAAATATTATATTAGATATCATACCATTTGTATTACTTTCGTGTTGTTCGGACGGTAAACATCTAAATTCCAATAGCGGCGAGTCTTATATAAAAAACAAAAACAAGAGCAAGAACACAAAATATAAAAAATAAAGAGTAAAATTTAAGAAACAATAAATAAATTTGTATTTCTTGCAGAAAATATAGAAAGAACCGCGTGTTTGTTTTGTGTAAAAATATAAACGTAAGTGCGTAGAATATTGCGTAAGAATATTTTAAAATTATTAAATTAATAATTTTTTATTACAATATTTGTTAATTAATATAATATACACAATTGAGTAATAATTGCGTCCCCTAATTGGTGTTTAAGACAAAAAAGAGAAATGGTTAAAGATAAATAAAATAACTACCCTCTTGTGAAATAAACGCTCATCCATTAGATGCAGGAACTTGGCAATCCTAATAAAAATTATGCAATAATGACACTTCTTCCGGTACTCACTCCATTAATACGATGTTATGTGTGTAATATAAAATCATGCAAAAATAAATAAATTTTAATTAAATCTAAAATGACAGTAATTTTACATACATTTTTTAATTTTTTAAAATGTTGTTATCATGTGATGACTGCCTGCAGGGAGAGTTTTTATAGTGAAGGCGAAGCTATCTGTAATTGCTTTGCGTTCAAGATAATTATCTATCATATAGATAATATGGATAAGAGACAAATGAATATGCCAATTATTGACGTAGATCAAGACAGTCTTCGCCAAAAATTTGATAGCCTTGTGAGTCACTTGGCAATGTACCAGGCAGGCAGTTAAAGGATAAATAGGGTTATGAGCTTGTGTGGATTTATTCTGGGAGAGGTTTAAAAGAAAAAGATTTATACCAGGTTTCTTTAAAACGGAAGAAATAAGGTAGAGAATGTCTTGTTTTTCTTGAGTTATAATTAGCAATGGAGCCCGGCCTGGCATTTTTTTATCAACTTTCGCATTAACAATGTTACCAAGATGACCGATGTATTCAACTCATCCACATGAGTTGAATTTTGTGACTGTAATAAGAAGGCACCGGTTCTTTGTTATTAAAGGACTGTTGTTTGGGCAATTTTTAATTGCATTTTTGGCAGAGCGTCTATTTAAACATATGTATATGTCATGTATTTGCTATTGACTGTGAAGGCATAGGTTAAAGCTTGGAGTATGGGTGCAGCTACTGCTGTGAGGGATGGGCAGAAGCGCTCAATAAGAGCTGTGGAAATTATTTTTTTGGGAAGTAGTTACTACGAATGTAGTACCCAAGTTTGATTGAGAACATATGACAGTTAGTATACTTTGTCAATTATATTAGTTGTCAACTTTCTAGGGATTTTGTTGTATAGATTAATTGTTTAATTACGTTGATGAAAAATGTATAATTTTGGTAATTGAGATAGAATTGATAATTGACATATTATATGATATGATATAATCAATATATAAAATTTCGAATATCTTTAGGGAGTTTTAAATATAATTTCAAGGGTGATGTTTTGAAATCAACCTAAAGTTTTGTAGCTCATAAAAAGAGTGACTGTTTTACTAAAAGCGACACTACGATAAAGCAAAAATGCCTTGAAGACTTACTTTTACAAGTATATGAAGCATTTTCCTCTACTTTCATAAAATAATCTATTATTACAGCAATTTTATAAGATAATTTTTTATTAACTTAGCTTATAAATAGTTTACATAAGCCTATAATAGTAAATATTATATTTTAATTTGGTTTATAAGTAATATTATTAAAAAGTGGTAGTACATTCAATAGATGTCTAAATCATTTTCGATGTATAATATTTTTGGGAATTAAACACTTCAAAGAATATCGGTATGCATCCTTAAACTTCAATTATATTTTCGATATTTATTTAAAGTTCGATCAATCAATTTTGTCTTCGAAATCAATTAGAGAATATATGTTACAATTTTTCCATTAATTTTTTAAATTCGTTGTACCCTTTAATAATTCTTATATATAGTATTAATTAAAGTTACAAAAATTTTTGTTTTAAACACTGCTTTTCCATCATTTGGAATATATTTTGAAATAACATTTTAATATATTTAAAATATATTATGATATTGTATATAAAATATATATATAATATTATATATATAAATATAATGTATAATGATTCCATTAATCTGAATAAAAAACTTTGACGTGGTTTTTTATTTTTTTAATGTTTTCACATAGTTATTATCTATATAGGTAATAAACGCTTATCACAAAAGCCTTTAGAAACTCAAATAATATCAATAAATAAAGATTACTCATAACTATCTAATATTTGTAAATTATTTGTTAATAACATGAAAATGAATATAATTCCTAATAATTATTTTTATCATACATACTAACTAGGTTAAAAATAGGTTTTAATTATTCATTAATAACATGCAAATAAAACTAATTCTTAATACTTATTTAAAACACAGATACTATTATTTACTTAATATATATTATTTATATTAATTGAATAAAAATATGTTAAATATTATATTATGATTGTTTAATATTAATAATTTAATTTATTGTTTGTTAAAATGAAAATCTATTAAATACTATACATGTATACTTTATTTTTTTTTTTTTATAGATAAACATTGAAAACTAAATCAAAGGAACAAAAACACAAAAAAAAGTTAAAAATATACAAAAATTGAAATAAACATTAAAAATTAAAAATTAACTGCAGTAAAAAAAATTGTTAAATTACTAAATTATCTTATTGTAGTGATTTAAAGTTATCTTGCAATTCTTAAAAATACAAATACCAAACAATATCCATAAGAGTATATGTTCAGAAAAGTTCGTCTTCCAATAAGACATGTCAGCTATAACAGAAAAAGCAACTCATAATAAACATTGTCAATCGAAAAAGAAAAGTAGTGAACCTCAGATTAATATTACAAAACAAGAATTCGATCTTATAAGTGACGCGTTTAAAAAAGAAGAGTTTCGTAAATTATTTTTCGACTATTGTGAAGAGATACAAGATCCTGAGAATCGTAAGATCTACGAAAAAGAAATAACACAGTTTGAAGCAGAACGTGGTGTTAATATTACATTCGTTAATCCTGAGCCAGGTTTTGTTGTGAAAACTTCAGTGGATGGTAAATTAAAGTGTTTTATAAATATTGCACAAAATGGTGCTATCGGAGAGCCCAAAAGTGAGCCTAGTAATAATCCGGAAACAGGTAAACGCTGTACAAGTTGGTCTTTACCTTTAGCTCAAGGACCCCCTCGCGATGATCTTGATGCTAAAAACAATCGTTGTCGCATTTTCGATGTCGTATATCATCCAAATGCATTGCAGTTAGCCAACCGTAATTCTGAATTTCGAAAATTCGTTATAGATACAGCGCTGGATGCTGTTGAAAGAGAATTTGAGGTAAGTGAGGTAAGAAATTTAACAAAAATGTTAAGGTAATTATGTTTTGTTAAGGTTGATTTGGATCGCAATAATTTGAAGTATCCTAAATTGAAATACAAAGGCATTGCAAGACCAACTGTGATACGTAAATTAGCTGAAAATGCACCACCAGAAAACTTGGAACCACATCCACTTGAGAGCATATATCCACCAAAACCAACTGCGGATTCGGCTTCCCCAAAAGTGATAAAAGTTCAGTCAAAATCGAAATTACAAACTGAATTCACAACACCCAAGTATGTCATCAAGCATAGACGTGATGTTGATCTCACCGAGTTTACAGATGAATTGGATGCGAAACTCAATGTAACTATACCTCGTGAACTTATTATAGAAATTGAGCTGCCATTGCTTAATTCGACTGCTGATTGCGAATTAGATGTTAGCGAAAACCTACTTTACTTATTAAGTAAACGGCCTGGCGCCAAGTATTATTTGAATTTAGATTTACCTTACACAGTACGCGACAAAGATGGTGTGGCTCGTTTCGACGTAGATACTCGGAAACTATGTGTGACCCTGCCAGTAGTACAGCAGAGTGTCAAGAAACAGCGTGATATGCATGATATGTTAATACATTTGAATCGTGAAGATAGTGGTGTTGAGAGTGACATACGTGATGAAAGCAACTCAAATAGAGAGTCACCAGTTGAGGAACTGTCTGAAAAATTCCCAGGACTGATGATTAAAGATAATGAAAAAGTAATTGAAAAAGAAGTTGAAGGTAAGCAAACTGAATATATCAAATTATTTTATGTCCATACTTAATATAATAAATTGTAGATACAGCGGTAAACTCAACATCTCATACTGAACCATTTTTGAAGAGTACAATTGAATATGCATTTCCTTCAAAATTCGATTGTAATGTGTTGGATAATTGTTTATCGTTGGTGTTGCATGTTAAAAATGTACAATCTGATTCCATTCTGTTAGAAAAACATAATCAAAATGCGCATTTGCAATTTTGTTCAATAGGCAGTGGATTTTATCCTACTTATTATGCATTCTTCATACAACTGCCAAACAATTGTAATATTAAAATAAAGGATGTGCAAGCTGAGGCTTGGGAGAATAATTTAGTGTTAAGTATAAATTTGACAGCACCTTGCGAAAATCTACATAACTATTTAGCTGGTCTAGATGTTAGCGATCTGAAAGAGTATGAAATTCATGATAAATTTAAAGCACCCAAAAATCGTAAACGTAAGAATCAAATTATCGCACCAACCACATTAGCTGCTTCTTTAGATGTTTCCGTAGAACGATCTGAATGTGAACGTGCAATTGAGATAGAAATCAAGCCACGAGTTGAGCACCAATCAACTTGTGCCACAAATACTACCGAAGATGATGATGATATCACATCCGAGAATGGTGTTAATCAGCAATTGAATAAAAAATTAAACAAAAAACAAAAGAAGAAAACGAAAAAGCAACGTTCTTTATCAGAAACGGCTTATGATGATATTAAAGCCTTTGAAAAGCAACAAGAACAGCAGCAGCAACAGGAAAAGAAAACAATACAAAAGTCTCAAGTACAAATTAAGAGAAGTGATTGTAAAATTGAGGATGATAATTCTTCACCAGAACGTAATGAAGAACAAATTATTACAACATCCACAACATCATCAGTTGATGTGCCGAATTTGAACTCAACAGGACAACAACGTAAGGCACGCAGCTTCTCAGAATGTCGCGCTGATAGTGGCGTTAGTTGTAGTGCTGGTAGCGCTAATTTACAAGCTAATTGTAAGGGCATATTAAAACATTATAGCCGATATGCTACTCGCCCATCTATATCTGATAGTTGTTCATCCATTGATGATAACTCTTTATATTCATGTTCAGTCGATGCGATTCAAACACATTCGTTAAATGGTTCACGCTCATTCAGTGATATACCAGAAGAACAACCTGGTCTGTCTGAGAGCTGTAAGAAGACTGTTCGATTTAACGAAGTTATTAGAAAACAAACATATCGGTAAGTAGTAAAGTATTACATATATTATAATCATATAACGTAGCACCTACATTTGTTTGTAATTGTGCAAATTATTTGCAATTTGCAAATGATTTACAATCTTCAACTCATTCAATTAAAACAATCTAAAGTGTCTACTTTTTATTTTATTTTTTCTATTATTTTCTTTTTTTAATTTATAGGTATGATTCGAGTATATTAGGCCAACGTAAAAAGAATCAAAAACGTCGTGATCGCAAACAACGCGCCTTACAGCGTCGGCTTAGTGAGGGAGACTCAGCTGACTATGAGGATAACAAGGTAAATTTCAATTAGACTCAATTTTTCAATTAAAGCTTGAATAGAACTGCAATCTCTCGAATTGTGCTTTACACATATTGTTGGTGTATTTTACAAACAACCGACAGAATATCACTGTAAAGTATCTTTCCATGCAAGGTCATCAAAATGTATACGTAATAGGTATGGAACTACTGAATGTTTCTGCTAATCAACACGCTTTGCTTATAATAAACTTTTTGTTGCAAAATGATAATGATAGCTTATCAAATTGTGCGCAATTTAAGATGTTTGTTTGTTTATACTTGATTTGAGACAGATGACGCGTACTTTTGTGTGACATACTCACTTACGTACGAGAAATTCAAAGCTAATTTTTTTATTGATATAAGCGAATTCTTAATTTAGCTATAAACAATATCTCTACTTTTAACTATATAATCAACTTAAACACATTATTTTATTGGCTTCATGCCAATTATACGTAATCCAATAAACAAGCAGATATTCTGTGTGTAAACATTATTTGAATACCCTTTATTTCTGTTATAAAAAACTATTATTTAATAATAAAAATCTATAGTATTTGCAAATAACGCAAGATAGACAGAATTGAATTTATATATAAATTTAAAGAAAAAATATTCGAAGTTTTTTACTCAAAACTGAAAACAGTTTTTTTCTTTTAATTTTACAAATTTTATTAATGCAAATATTTAATAATAACATCTTCCATTTTTCGACTACAACCATTATACCTTTTAAAAAGCTGACGCAGGTGGTTTGAACAGTCCACTTTAATTTAACTCAGCCCATAAATTAATACTGCTCCGCCAAAGTCAAATAGTTTTTGCCAAAAAATTTCTGTAAACTTTTCTTATTCATAAATTTTAGCTAAACAGATTATCAATTTTCTTTACTTAAATTGCAATATTTGCTAGCATTAGAGATTTGGATGCAATGCTGATTTCCCGGGCAGGTTGTTGGAAATGTCCAACAACTAGATTACATGAAAGTAATTACAAATACGTTTACAAAGGTTAGGATATAGATAGATGATGAAATGTAAGAGAGGAGGGAATTGTTTAGGAGGATTAGGGATGGATGGGATTTAATTTAAGTCAACCTGAATCGATGAAATAAAGCCACTTTAATGGGACAGGTCTAAAGATCGATTAAACTCAAGTTAATATGTGCATTGAGATTTGAAAATATATAGACTACAACATTGTGGGTAGAGCAGCAGTTAGGGTGTCCTAACTGAAAATTGTTTAGGAAGATTAGGGATGGATGTGATTAAAATTGAAGTCAATTGGACTTAAATTACTGTGTGTATTAAAACATAACAATAGATGGGCGTTATCATCTGGGGTAGATTGGGACAGTTAGAACTACGCATATTTGCATGACAAGTAACAGTTATACATGGCTATATCCTGATTTCAATTGACCTAAAATAGTTCGTCCGGCATGTGGCAAGCCTCGTTCCTCCTTGAAGATATTCGCAGATAATTCTATATCTATGTGAATGCAGTTGGTTCATGTTTAAATTCGATTTTTCTAATGTTAGTTCTAATGCAATAGATGCGATGTATTCATGGTGATTGTAATAGGAGTATAATCAAAGCTTAATGCTATATTTGCACTTTACTTTGAAGCGGAAAATTGGCTTTGGCTAGTGAGACTGACATCGTGGGAACTAGAGCAAGTTGATTTTACAGTTGACGTGTCTTCATTTAGAGCACAAAAGTAGGATTTATTGTTGCGGCTTGACATTATTACTGTACTACATGGTTACATAGTAACACGTGACGAAAGTCTCTTTGTTTAAGCTGGTTTCTTGAGATTGTGATTACTACTAATACATATTATATTTGGCAAGATTTGATGTCACGTTTACTTTGTTAGAAAGTTATATCAATGTCTTCATAATTTTGATCATTTTTCTGTGTGATATTCTTTGAATTTTTTCGCTTTACTCAATAAAATGAACTAAATAAATAATCTTTTATTTGTAGCCCATTATTGATTGTTCTTCGAGAAGATCTCAAACTCCACGCCATATGCCAGGAGGAGCACTTTATGAAAGTATTGAGAATGATATGGAACATTCAATGAAGCCACGTGAACGTTTCGAATCTGAATCATCGGAAGTTGATGCAGTAAAAAATTCAATGATTTTCGAAATGGATATGTAGTCTACTTTGTCGTTTGAAAAATATATAAGCAAAACGTCAATAATTTTTTAAAAATACTACTTTTAAGTTAAGTTATTAGATACAAACACAAAACAATTTTCGGCCTTATTAGAAATATTGCTCAACCAAAGTTGGATCCTCATATTTTTGGAATATAAAAAATTAGTTGCTACCATTTGCACATTGTTAAAAATTTTTAATTATGAAATTAATTAGTGTAATAGAATTCAAATGAAATTGTAAAAAAAAAATTGGTTGATGTTTAACAAAGTTGTAGAAAAATTGATTGTAATTGAACATATATTTTTGTGTTGTTATTTTTTGTATTGTTTTAATTAAGTTTAAAAGCCTTAAACTATAAGCCAAACGTTTTTAATGGCATTTTTATGAATTTATCTCTATGTGATTGGCTACATGAATTTGTATAATCTTAACTAAATAAGCCAATCTTAAAATAATTAATTGTTAATGATTTAAATAAAATCTGAGGCTGTTCTGAAATATATAAAAGCAATAAAAGCTTCTTTTTTATATTGCAACATATATAAAAAAGATGAATATATTTATATATATTCATCTTATTACAAAAGTGTGGATAAACTGTATATGAACATTGTTTCTTATATAAAAATAAATTAAAATAGTTATATGTATACTGAATGTATTAAAAAAAACAAAAGCGAATAAAAATTTAGTGTTATTTATGTACGATATAAAAGCATTTTGCATTTTATTTGTGATCACTTTTTAATACAATTGACATCAAATGTTGTTGAAATACTGTACTTTATTATGGAATATTAACAGCTTTATGAATTTAATCTAAAAGTATACTTTTCAAAATGTTTTATTTACATGGCATATATACAAATATTGTAGTAAATCATATACTAAACGTTTTTCAAAATGTTATGGAAATGAGCTATTTGTTGCAAATCACGACGTTTCATTTCTAAAACATACAATACTGGGCAATCCAGTGAGCCACACGCAATATCACCAATGCGTCCACAACATGCTTGACATATTTGCTGTGTTAAATGAAAACCGCGTTCAATTTTAGCGATTTTCCACTGTATTTGTATCCAGGATTTTGTAGGGTTTTTGGAACAAGTACTACAAATACCCTGTTTGGTTTGGCGACCGCAGTCAACTATACAATTTGTTGTTGAAAAATATTGCGATATGGTGCTTTTTTTTAAATGTTGTATACATCCTTGAGGAATGATTTCATTGGCAGTGGATAATGCTGGTGTAAGTAGCAATTTTCTTGGTAAATTAGCAAACCTTAAATAATAACATGTTTCGAAGTTTAAAAAAACTAAGTACAAAATATAATAAACTGTAAATATAACATTACCACTCATTTACATCAGCACCTATCAACAGTAAGCAACGATTTAAAGGTGGAATAATAGCTTTTGTTATATAATAAATAGCATTTATTTTAAGGCCGTCGTTCTGCAAAACATCGTGTGGACTGCGGACTAAGCGTATTAGAGGCACACCAGGAGGGCCGTTAGTTATAATAAACGGTACGCGCTCTCCGCGTCTAGGTATATGACGTGGATCAGTTTGCATCCATTTCCTTTATTTAAATAACAAAATAAATCTATTATTATATTATTATTCAAATTACAAAACCAATATATTAACCTTGTTAATTCTAAAGCAGGCACACATGCTGTTGGTTTATAACCGTTTAGACCACGAAATTCTTTTGCAAAAATAAGATCTTGTAGGTTTGCCTTTCCAGATAATAATTTTGTAAATTGTCTACATACATACTGTTTAACCTTACTGACGTCTTTTGTTTCAAATAATATACGTAAAACTTTCTCCAGCATCTAAAAGAACGATATCAGTTCATTTGTATATAAAATGTACCTAATTAAATCTATTATCAATATTTCAATTACTTTAGCAACTGCAGGACAGCCGTCTCTTCGCACAGTTTCAATGCCTTTTGCTTCATATACTGGTTCCGTTTGATCTGGAGTTTCATACATATAGCCTACATAACGCTTTTTTGTCTAAATTAAAAAAGCACACATAAAGAACATATAGAACTTACTAAACTTATAAACCTATTTTACCTGTAATATACATGGTTGATATATTTTTTCGAGTTTCAATTTAACAGGATGCGGATTAATATTTGTTATAGTCTCTACGATTTCTTCTCCTATTTGAAATGCTTTTTCTCGACTTCGTCCAGGTACTAACACAAACAATGAATCGGTATCACCATATACCACCTTAACATTCCATTTTTCATTCTGCTCCACAATTTTTATAGCATTCTCCAGCGTCTCACGTCCTTTAGACACAACACTGTCTCCGACTTCAACACAAGGCATACGACCACTAAAATTTGCTGCTGTATAACCATAAGTGACATTAGCCATTAGTTTTAATCCGAGTTGTCTAGAATGTAAAATTCTCTGTAAAGCGGTATTCGATTTGTGCAACTTCATCGACTGTTTAACCATTTGTCGTGTATCTAGAATTTCGGTTAGCATGCGGGGTAGAATTCCTTCACGTACAGTTGACTTAACAAAAACAGCACCACATGGTGAAATCGTAATTAAATCTCGATCAAGTAATTTACGTAACATGCTTGGAGAGACTCTTAATTGTGACGCGCCAAATTCAAATGGAGAAGATCTGTTAATACAATATTAATGCATAAAAGATTATATACTTATTTTAAATTCTTACTGTCCCAAATGTTCAACACGACCAAGACAGGTAGAGAAACAATAGTTGTATGCAATAATCATGCTTGGATATAAACTTTGAAAGTCCAAAACAATTAGTGGATCAACATAAAAGCGCGATTGCGGTTCCATTATAAGAGCTAAGTATTCCGGTGCCCGCATATGTGCGCGTTGTTGTACGCTGGGTGAAAGCGGTACTAAATTTTTCGGTTTTCCTATTCTGTATATAAATCTTACTTAAATTGTATCTAGATAAATGTACAGTATTTGTACCTTAACATCATACTTTCCACACGGAATTGTGAACCCCTAGACAGTACTTCATAAAATTGTATTCCAATCAATTTAGCCATTTCGCTTGTCCGACCAATTAAATCTAATTGATCTAGTAATGACAAAGTACCACGGACTCGCTCCAAGTAATATTCAATCACAATCCAACGCGAACATGGTGACGCAAACCAAGTCTTCAATTACACAACTATTATTACTATCACTAATTATTAGAATTATAAGCAAACCGTTAGATCCTGGAAATTGTGCCAAGGACAACGTTTATGTAATATGTGATACATAACATTTTCAAAACTGTAGGAGGTAAGCGCGATTTCAGATCGCATTAAACGCCAAACATCTAATAAAATGCGTCCATTTAGTTTCATCTGCATTAAAGTATTATAAAAATAAATAACAATAATAAAAATGATATGCATAAAAAAAATGTGGGCGCTGGCTACATGGGCATAAATGTGTATTCTGATTAATATATATTATCAATAATAAAATTATCATTTCTCTAAATCAAATCATTGACCTATTTCTGCTTAGATAAGTGAATAGATTAGAATAAGAATGTAAAATGAAATAAGAAGAGTAAAGCAAGTAGCTGCGTTCATACACATTCCCTACATTAAAATTACTTCAATATAATAGGTCAGATGTGCTTTCTGTTTAATATGCAGGGTTTTGCAACTACTCACAACAACAACGTATATATGTAATATATAATTAGCATAAAAACATATAATTTTATTATGGAGGCTTTTTTGCAGTATATTTAATAAATTTAATATACTTTTGATACTAACACAGAGACCATATTTCAACCAATCTACAATCAACAGTAAATACAAAATTATATAGTTCGGAGCGATATGAAACAGAAGTTCTTCACAATACGTCAACAGACGCAATAGGCGTAATTAAAGTTCTTATAAATTTTCTATCCTTTCTAAAAAATCCTTAAACGTAAGACCTATTCATACACATAATGCCTAAAAGGACCTGATGTAACTTAAGTTGGTAAGCGTTAGCGGTCTTTATATGAACTCTTACAGCCAAGCAACACTAAAAATATCTAACTTAATAGGATAGCTAAGTGATTCTATAAATGCATTGTAGATCATTGTACGACATATGAGTCTATTAATCCTGAAACTTATCCCACTTTCATCCAGAGTAGATACAAAAATACTTGTTCACTCCTTATTTATGTAAATACGATCAATTAGTAAATACATGCTGTTTGAATAAAAATATATATAGTGTCACTAAATTATTGTGCTCTAGATTTGGAAAAAATTGAATAAATCAATAATATTATATTTATATTGATTAAATGTAAATTAGTTTAAATATAAGGTATTAATGAATTTTTGCAGAAGTTGACATGTTGAAAAGTTAGAATCAATCCTTTTTTTTTACTACTGCCTTGCGTTCTGTCAGAGCGATATATAACTCTAGAATAATCAGGGCTTGTAGAAGAAATCTTAAAGTAAATCTTAAGTTCATCGATTTTTATAACTAGTTTCTAACTATCTTTATTAGTAACGAAACAACACTTCAATATGTGTTACTTTGGTCCTATGATTTTAGTCTTAAAGCCATTACCAGCTTATTTACCAAATTTACATTTGGTACATTAACATAAATACACACTTATTATTCCAATTTATTAGATAAAAATGTGTAGTTAAAAACCGATTGTTTTTGGACAATTCTTGAACATCTTCCAAAAACCATTTCCAAAAATTGTCAAGCTAACATTTTTTGCTAGCTTGAACTTATTTTATATACCAAAAGATATTTACTTTATAATCACATATTTGCTTGAATAATATTTACCTCTACATCTAAATCCGTGAATTGATCACGATCTTCATCAACAAAATCTCGCACTTTTTGTGTGGGAACTCGTGACAAGAGTGGAATTATATTAAAACACAAATATTTAGCACGTTCAATGATGTAGCCCCAAGATGCCATCTCAATTTCATAACCAGCATATATATCTGGATCCCACTTTGCGCAAAGTGCTAATAAGTATTGTATTGCATCAATTTCTGTATTTACCACTTCTACAGCTATATCGGCATCAATTCCATGAATTTTCCCTTCCTTTATCAAATCATTGACGTTGTTAACAATAATATAACCACATGCTTTCATTGGTAATCCTGTTGGGTTTGTACAATCAATGGGAATACTATTTTCTATAGCATAAAATATACAACGAATTTCATCGAATTCGGGATTGGGATGCAGACTTTCACGCGTTGGTACAAAGACTTCCAATGTTAGAATGGTAAGATAATTATACTTAAAATAGAAATAAATGAATGAAAGGCAATATTTCATTTATATTTTGCGAAATCCTTACCTCTACATCTGATTTTGCTTGTTGCAAATTCTCTAAATTCACTTTGAATCCAAATGTATTATTAAGCGTAGCGTTACTTAATCCAAAACTAATATCGTGATTTACATTTTTAGAGATGTCTGAATTTAAATTTTTAACGAAGGAAGAACGTTCCAGTTCAGCCAATGCAAGATGACTTGATATACTTGAACTTGTGTCAGTTGAATTGACGCTTTCTTGACTGAGAGGTTTAATATTCTCACAATCAATTTGTAGTTGCTCAGAGGGACTGTTTGAGCTGCAACCAGTCTTATTGTGTTGTTCAGCTTTAAAAGCTATTTTCAGTTTCTTATTTAAACAAACTCGTGCTCGATGCAAACGGCGCTTTAGACTGCGTAAGCTGTTTGGAGCTGATCCAATTATTTCTGGTATTGTTGTAAGCGGAGTGGTACTTTCGTCATTTCTAATACTTTTCTTGGATATATTCCGATCGACGGGAGTAGCTGGTGTCAAAGGAGTTAGAGTTAGACTAGTCGAACAATCTAAATCGGCATCACTATCGTCACCACCCGTCTGTTCGTTTAACATCATTGTTACTTTTTGTCTACGTATTTTTATTGGACTATCTTCATCGAAGTTCATTTTCTCTGTTACTGATTCTTTCTTATTTTGCATTAGTTCTCGAGCTTTAAGCCATATTTTAGCGTCATAGGGTAAAGGTGGATTTAACAGTGGCGTTATAATAACAGATTTATTATTTGCAAAATATTCTCGTACACGTAACGTGTTACGAAAACTATTTAACATATTTAGTCCTCCAATAGACACTAATTTTTGACGTCGCCATTCGGCAATACCCATTAAATTTTCACCCATAATACTTTGAAATTCTTCTAAGTCATTTAATTTATTTCCGGGAATCTGCAACACGAGAAAACCTAGTTCCTTTTGTTTAGTTATATCATCAGGATTACTATAATAAGGATTTTGATAATCATATTCTTTTATGTCATATTTTTCACAGCCTTCGAGAGTTTCAGCGTAAGTGGGTGGAAGTTCTAAGGGAGTGATAATAACAGTATTTCCAGGCGATAAATTGAATTTTGTTGTTAAGGGTGAACATATTTGTGCCATGCTTGGAGAACTAATAGAACTGACTGGGCTGGAGAGATTGCTAAATACTGAAGGACTGTTTGCAGATAAACGCATATGTAGTGAATTTCGCTTACTACTTTTTCTGATATTTGAACAAGGCGCAGTTATCTTAACTTTGCTAACAGGAGTAATTGGATCTGGCATAGAACTCTGTTCGTCCACAAAATCATTATTTTTGCTTTTTGTGGTATTAACTACATTCAAACTCGATGTTAAAGACCTACGTTTTCTCAATATGGAATTTAGTGTATTTAAACATGGTTGCAGATCTTTTACGTTAGGCGTATTACGTAGTTTTGTGAACGATGTTTCTATTTCATTATCTGAAGCTAAAATCTCTTCCTCTGAATCAGTTAGAGAAGAGCCTGAGAAACGAACATTGTTCGTAATTTCTTTATGTTCTAATTGTTCTGTTATTTTTTCTTTAACTTGATCTGAAGTATTTAAAACATCCATATCTTCTGAACTTTCAATCTCTATATTAATTATTTCTTCTTTGATATTTAACTGAATTTCAACTTCAGATAGTTTACCAGTATCCGCATCTTGAGTGTTAGACGTACTGCTGATATCTTCGATGTCGTCTTTGCAATTATTTGATAACGATTTAATTGCCATTGTCTCCGCTTGGCATCCTATTTTTATATCATTATTTTGATATTCTAATACAGTTGTTGATTTTAAAGTAGATTCTTTTTCAGTACATTTAGTATCAGCACTTTCAGTTTTTTTATTAGTGGTATTATCTGTTTCAACGAGATTTTTATTTTTTTCACTAATACGAGTACTCTTACGAGTAGGTTTTTTATCGGTTTCTTTCTTGGTTTTTTTACTATTATCATTAACTTCCACCAATTTAGTTCTATCTACAGGTATTAAATCTTGATCTAGTTTATAGACTTTAAGTCTTTTCTCGCGTTTTCTACGTGGTGTCAAAACACAAGTTATATGAGTCTTATCAAAGTCAACAGGTGGGTTTGCCATACGCTTCGGAGTGACTCTAGAAGTGAATACACATTATTTTTCAAAATTAAAACAAATTTACACCAAGCAAATCTTCTTTTACTTACTGCTTACTTTGCATTTTAGAAGTTGTTGGTTCTTCATCCATATTTATCGGTAATTTTTCGTTAATGCTTTTACGCCTCAACTCAGTAATAGCCAGTCTTTTTCGTAAGGATTCCACTGAACTAAAATTAAAAAAAATAAATTTATTGAATTATTTTTTAAAACTAATACCTTTACCTTTTGACATCATCAATTGATTTTGAATTATAAAATTTTGTTGGTGTGGTTTCACTCTTATGAGCCGATTTCTCTAAATGAAATTTAAATAATTTAAACATTAATCAATAAATTTAATAAATTTAAAAAGTGAAGAAGTAAATAAATTAAAATATTCTTTTGTTAAGTTTTAAAATAATTCGCTTACTTTTTTCCGAGTGATTTGTTATGGTTATTGGTAGCGGCGCATATCTTGAAGCAACATTTCTTCTTGGTGTGCGTGGTGAACGTACCGGTGACTTATTGGATGATCCATACAATTTTTTCGGTGTAGTTGGTGGTGTTGTTTTTTTTGTAGAGTTAGTGGCTAACTTTTGATTTCCATTTCTTTTTGGCGGAGTTTTTAGAATGTCATCACTACCATCGATTTGTTCTAGCTTTTCTTCTCTTGCTGGTTTTAAAGGAATGTCCTGACTTGGTGTAAATTTAAGTATAAATTCATTAATATCCTCCATAGCGATAGAAAAATCATGAAGTTTTGCTTCTTCATCATCATCTAAATCTGATTCATTTAGAAGAGTGGATTTACTTATAGTTCCAGCGGTCGTTTCTTTATTCAAATATTCAGGACTCTGATCGACTGAAATTTATATTGTTTATAATATGTAAATTTAAATAATAATGATACGTGTAAATATATATTTATGCATATTAAATAATATTCATATATAAATATATAATATGAATATATGTATATTATTTTTGTTTATAAATTACAATTTTTGTTTTGTTGTGACAAAGGCGCTAAGGTACTGTCTAAGTCTATTTGGTTTTCATTTTCATTCTCTTCTTCCAGCTGTTGCAAAATATTAAGTATAGTTGTATCTTGTTCTCGACCTATAAGAATACATATATTTTTTTTTTAATACTTTTATAAATATTTAATTAATATTAAGTTACAATTGTCTTGGTGTGATAAGCGCTTCAGAGAATTAGGCAAATCCTTTTCGGTTTCATCTTCATTTTCTTCCTCAAGTGACTTCATAACATCAAGTAATGCTATATCCAAATCCCGCACTAAAATTATAAGATTAGTTCTATATATTCTATTTAACACAAAAGTCTAACATACAGGAAGCATTCAATGGAACTTGCGTTTGTGTTAGATTTAATATTAATTCTTCATCCACCAGTGTTTCCTCTAAGAAGACATTCTCACTATTATTTGCATCGGGCAAGAGTTCCTGATTGAAATCGTCCGAGTTTGCTTTAAAAATACTGTTATTAGGTAAATGATTTTCAATATATGAAGCATTTATTAAGTTATCGTTCTGTGAACATTCTTCTGGATAGACTGCATTTGCAATCAACTTTTTCAAATTAAAGGTTCGCTTCTAAGAAATAAAATTATAAATATATTTTGAAATACACTGACAACAAAAGAATGCTACCTGTTCCTTTTGACTTATTTCCGGTTTATTTAAAATTGTAGTCGATAAGCTTGAAGCTATGGTAGAGTTTATGGTTTGATCTGAGGTAGACATTTCAAGTGGAATAAGTTTACTGAATAATCCAGCCCGATAGAATGCATCGCTTTCTGCTATTTGAACAAAAGGTCTCTCTTGTGTATCAGGTACTTTTAAAGGCGGAATCTATGCGTTAAAATTTTATAAACTATTTAATCAAGACTTTTAATACTTTATGCTTACTTCTTTAGTTTGTTCTTCATCATTGGCTAAATTTTGTTTTAATTTTTGACGTCTCAAACTTTCATCTTGCCAAATAGCTTCTATGCCAGGGTTTGTATGTATCGAATTATTTTTTGCTAGTAATTGAAAACGATTCAAAATGAAATTTGATCCAATATCTACCTCTATAAGGCTCACAGTCTGTTTTTTTATAGTCGAACAATCAAGTACTTGTGCATCTACAATGCCAGAAATCGGTATTTCTGTAAATATAATACCGATATAAATTAATTTATACAATAACTACATACATATGTGTCAAAAAATTATATGCACATTACCATCTGTATCACAGGATTTCCGAAATTTAACAATATCCAAGGGCACATGTAAGAAGCTCATACCATATAAATTATAATCAATCATAAATTGTAGTATATAGGGTACATGTGATTCATGTGGATGAAAAATTTTGCCCATAATGCCACCGTTTTGTAAAAGATTTGCAGCACGACGTACAAAACGTGGATTAAACATATAAACTTTAAAATACTGATGCTCTGTTCGGTGATACCCATAAAAAGGTCTATAAGAATGTTATTTCTAAGTAACAGAAATTAATTAATTTATGATTTCTTACATTCCCTTCACCAATTGCACTTTAAAAACATGCTGAGCTTCTGAGCTCCCCTGGCCAAGTGATATATTGATTGCTTTATCAATATTGGTAGCAATTTGGTAAAATGCTTTATTTGGACTATCAAAATCTTTTGGATCATAAGGTATATAAAAATAAGGAAATACTCCATGAATATGCATGCATGATTTCTGCCCATTAGCATTTGCACCAAAAATGCGTATAATTGGTACCTAAGATAAGTAATAAAAATATATGTATATTAATTAAAATAAAATCTATTAGAGGCTAGAGGCAAGTGTCCTCAACTTACTCGCTTTATTTGTTTGCCCCGAAATTCCGAATAACATGGATCCAAACCATATGTGGGTTTGTCTAAATAAAAATCAGCAACAACAAGACGAATTGAAAAAACTCCATTAGCCGCTGACATTTTACTAAGTACTTTTAATATTTATTGTAATATAAATTCAATTTACAGCAGCCTAACATTTTGTTGTGAAATCAAATGTTTACATGCGAAGCGCGCCATTCGAATGACAGCTGTTTACTGTCAAAGAAAATACAAGGTGTTTAGTCTCACATAGCGCACACCAAAATATATTTTGGTTGGACTGAAGATTCGATTCAAATTAAATATTGTTTAAAAATGCGGTTTTATAATAAATTGTTGTTGAATAATCTTAAGATATGGCACGATTACAGATTTCTATGCTTCGCGTTATTACGAAAAAATTTAGTAAAATCGGTTATTTTGAATAAATTTTTTTAAGTCTCCTGTATTTCAATATAACTCGGTTTTCGAGAAATCAGACTTTAAATATTATAGCCACATATGATAAAATTTACAAATATAATTAAACTACATAATAATGTAGTTTCTTATATATAAGGAACTGTAAGCATGTTATTTTCATTAATGATTTCACATATGCAAAATAACGTTTAAATCATTTGACAGTCCTTCAGAGAACAGGTTTTAGTCCGAACCACTAATTTAATCTCCTTCTTAGTTAACATTAAAAATTGTAGATTAGAAGGTGGCACCTAAACAGTGTACCACCAATCCACACTTAGTTGGCTATAAAGAAAACGTTGTTTGTGTCTTAACAATAAAATGAGCATTTCTGTCATATAACATGAACAATAAGGGTCATATTATTCAGATAGTAAATAACGCTGAGTAGTTTTTTGTTAATGATCTAATGAATAATGACGTTCTCCTTGCCTATCCACCTTTTTTGGTGTGTTTTGGTGACATAATTGTTAAAAATACCAATGTCTCCTTTTTGACTATGCTCCAACCGTTTATATCCAAGAACATGATAATATATAGAGACACGCTATCTGCAAGGAGAGTGTTTCGCTTTACTGGTCCTTGAAGTTTATTAATAATAACAGTTGTTTGCTAGAGAGAGTGTTATTGTGGAAATAATTGTAAGCTAAATACGAAAAGATTATACTATCCGACATGTTTCTTAAATTATTCATCACAATATTTAAGTAATTAGTGTAGTTATGGTTCTTAAGATGAAAATATTAATAATAATTCTTAAAAATATGTTTGAAAAGCTTCTCATCAAATATGTTATAAATAGAAAAATTTATCTAACTTTTATTACTTCGTGTTCTTTGAGCCAAAAATATAATATATAATAAATGTTTATACCTAAACCATATTCTAATGTAATCATAATATGTGCTTTAGAGATTTTCTGAGTTTTCAAAAATAAATTGAAATTTAAATGGTTGTTATAGTTTACCCTAAATGAAAAATAACATTGTCATATGCCTGCTATAACGTGGTTAACTTTTATCGTTAAAAATCTCGATATAATTTTTCGCAGAAAGGGTTTTTTTCGCTGGCTACACTATTTTTTTTAGACGATACTTAAGTCTTCCAGTACCATTTAAATTTTATACTTTCTGCTGTTTATTTTGAGGAACTTTTCAACAAAATTAAGATGAAAATAATGTATAGAATTAAAGTTCGATAAACATTCTTCTAGTTTATTATATTATCAATCCATTATTTATTTATAATTTCTATTTGAGCCAGTGCACTTGAGCACTTTTACTCTTTCTTAACTCGAGGTATTTTTAAAACTCCTCATTACGCCTTGACTGGATTATTGTTTATCACTTCATCAGACTAAGTAATAACTGACCTCAGATCTGCATACCTTCCCGAGGAGCCTGTAATCATTCTGAGATTTGATAACGCGGTGTTGTTAAGTCTGTCAATCCATATTACCAAATTAAAAAAAAATTAAAATAATTTATAGAAAATAAAAAGAAAAAACATTTAAGCTTTTAAACTCTTGAATTTAGTGTAGGTTTATATTTGCTGTGGAATAAGTAAAGTGTTCAACGATAGCTATGAGATATATATCTGTACATACAGAAAAAATGTATGATTTAATTTATGTAGTCAACAACTTAGAACATGGCCATATCCTTTAACTATGTTGAACCCATATTATTTTTTCTGCCAGAGGCAATCGTCACGCCTGTTGATCTCAAAGGGATACTACATTAATGTGTGACAGTATCAGTTCTCTTTAGTAGTTGTTCTTCGAAATTTTTTCTTTGTTGCAAGAGTTGTCACTATATTTACCCTACGATAGACCCATTGTCGATAGACTTTGGGGAATGATGTCCATTCGTATAGCATAGAAGAAGTAATAGCACAGGCAGCAGCTTTTCAGATTCAATAATGGTAAACCCAACTGTCATTAAAAACTGTCTACATAAAAATAGTCTCGGGTCTGAAACGATTAGTGCACTGATAGAAACAGTTTCATAGAAAATATTGTAGAATAAAACAATATTTTTATATATAGGTTTTGAATGTGTTTTATTTTTTTCAACTTATGTTTTTTTTTGTTTTTAATATTATATAGCTATTTTTTATAATCAAATTTTATTTTTTCAAATTGTTATTAACTATTTTGATAATAATGGTATTGTATTTTTGTTTTTATGTCGTAATTTTCAATTTTATATCGTAATCGCAGTTAATATATCATAGTAGTTAATGATCCTCTTATATTATTATTAAAAGAGCGTACGGCATAATTTTAAAAACTGTATAAAGTTATGTATATAAGAGTATAGATAATAGTTATTTGTTTTTGGCAAAAGGCTTTTAAACAATGATTGTAAATAAAAATGAAAGTGGCGTTTGAATGTTGCTTTGTTATAAGAGCGAGAATTTTTATTTTAGTAGTTTAGTTTGATTTATAGACATATTCGTAGGAAGAAACGGTTTATTCGATTTAAAAACTAGTTCTTTTACGTGATCCACTGATTTTTATATTGCTATCAAGTTGCTGTTGGTAAATCTTATAGCTTATGAACAATTTTAAATTAATTCTGATTTAATTATAATTTTCTCTTTCAGTTTTTTGTATATTTGATATATTCTTTTATATTAATGATTATAGTGCATTAATTTTAGTTTTTAATTAATTCAATAAATTTACTAAATACGCATTGATTATTCTTTTTTTTTTTTAAATGTACAATGTGCAAGTCGAAATATTTTTAATTTAATATTTATTGGTGTGAAAGTTATTGTTAGTTAGTTTAATAATTTTTAAACTTATAGCAAATTTTTTAGTAATAAAAAAGTATTTGTATTTAAATTCAAGAACTGTAACGGTTCAGAAGAATATTAATATATATTTAACATTAATGTGTTAATTTAAATTTATTTTTTAAAATAATTATCTTTAAAAATTAAAAATTTCTAATTTCTTTTATTAATAAAAATTTTGCTATAAGTGAGTTTTTATTTAAGTTTATATTCTTAAATTTAATAATTTTCAAAGTCGCTATATGTATATACATATGTATATATGTTTAGCTAAATTTTTATCGCTTTTTATATTAAAATTTTTGAATTTTTAGAAAAAATGATTATTTTAAAATATATAATGTATACGTACTTTCTTATACATATTCAATTTTAATTAATATTAAGTAAAGTTATATATTATAATGCATTTTCTTTTTCATTTCAAAAAGATTGTTTTATTTGCTTTAATAGTAATTATGTGTATGTATATTTATAAATGTATTTTAAATTATATAAAAAGTACATACTCTGCTAGAGACGATAATCATTTAGAGTTTAAGCATACAAATTAAGTATTATATACAAGTTTTAAATTTATGCAATACTATTCAGTTGAATTTTTTACACAAAAACTCACGGTATAGTAAATATAAATAATTTTTTTTTAATTTGTTTACATATTATATGTAAAAAGTATATATTACAAAAAATGTACATATAGATAAATTAAAGTTTGATTTGAAAATGAGAGATATTAGTACAAATAAAGCATACATATATAAAAATAAATAAAGTAAATATTAAAAATTTTTAACTGGAAATATACTTAACAGAAATTTTTATATGTTAGCATAATTGATAACTTTTTATCGATTGTAAAATGTTGTTGCCAGTGTTGTGCCTAACGCAAACGATTAAACTACAATCGATCACATGTCATTATAATCCAATAACTACAGTTTGAGATTTCCAGCTGCTGTAGTTTAATCGAAGGTTTTAATATGGTCTTAATTTGATTCGCAGACCTCTGTTTTAGGAAATTTTCAGCTCAAACAAATAATTGATTATTTTCCGATTTCTTCTAGAAGAGGGTTTTTTTAACTGTATACGCAAAATTTAACCGTAAAGTTATGATATAATAAAATATATTTAACTTATTTTAGTTATTAGTAACTGAATCTATGTTAAGTAAAAAACTTACTGAAGTTTTTAAAAAATAAACGAAATAAATACAACGAAAATAGGACTTTGTTTTAAACACAAAATATGGTTTAGTAAACTAGCTATTGAAGGTTAGATTAAAAAAGAGAGAAAAAAGTTATACTTATGTGTTATATTTTTTTAATTCCAACTCTTTGGCATAGAATCATTAAATAAGCAAAAATTATTTGTAAACATATTTGTAAACAAAATGGTTAATAATGAAACTATAATTTTAATAAAATTAATGTATTATTTTAAATAAAATTAAAATGTAATTTTTTTAATAAAATTAAAATGTTATTTCTTTAATAAAATTAAAATGTTATTTTTTTTATAAAATTAAAATGTTAACTTTTTAATAAAATTTAAATTTTTATTTTTTAATAAAATAATATTTTTATTTAATTTTTTTATAAAATTGAAATTTTAATTTTTTAATAAAACTATTATGTTTATTTATTTGTTTATAAAATTGAAATTTTCATTTTTTAATAAAATTAAAATGTTCTTTTCTAATATTGACTAGCGTAAGATATTTTAGTTTGTAAAAAAAACAAAAAAATTAATAATGTAAAATTGTTTAATTCATAAAAAATCAAACTTATTTATCGTTTTAATTTATTTTTCTAATTTATTTAGATTTCAATAAAACAATTTATTTATAATAGTTTTAAAGCTTTTTGTTTCTAAGAATTAGGTTTATGTAACTTATATAAATATATTTTTATATATTTTTGATTAGAGAAATATAGCTAGCGACACAACAGCAATAAATTTTTTATTACGAACTTAATAAGTGCGCTGCACAGTGCGTTGATTTAACAAAAATTAATAATAAAAAATCTGATGGTATATATTTCTCACAGCTTAAAAACATGATTTCATTTTTATTTTAATTTTTATAAAGTGATATTCAACGCATTTTCTTTAAATAATTATATTAGTAAAAATGTTTACTTATTTTTCATATTAAATTGCAATTGAGGAGCAGGAAATTGTGTTGTTTATGTGTAAAATGTACATACATATATTTTAAGAGTACAAATAGTGTAGATTATAATAGTATATATACTATGATTATATGATGATGTTATGTTTTTATAATGCACTTGGTTGTTGTTCTTTTTTTGCTGCAACTTTTTATTTTCGATTTCATTTAATTACATTATTAGTTGTTTAATATTAGCTTAAAAAGTAGTTTTACGTTTTGTGAGTAGAAAAAAAATTTCGTTAACCTTTTGTGTAATGAAGTAAAGGTTCATATATATATATATATATATATATATTAATAAATTTTTCCCAATACCAGTGTTCATTTATAAAGTATATAATTTTTAATATAACATTATAAAATTACTATAAATATATATTAAAAGTTATATACCTCTTCTTTCATTGGCAACATTTGTTTTGTATTCATATTTAATTTTATAATTATGCTTAAATACTCGTAGGCAAAATTATTCGAGCAAATTTGTATATATAATATATATGTATATAAGTAATTAATAAATTTTACTTTAATATTAATATATTTTATATTTTGTTAATTCAAAAAATTTTAGTTAAAAAAGTTTACATTATTGCTGTTACTTGTGTTACTTCACTATTTTATTTGAATAAATGTTAAAGAAAGTAGCAAATATATAAAATTGATTTGGTAACGTTTTTCACGTAATTCTTTATTTATTCCCTTTTCAATTAAAAAAAAATAAAATTATACAAACAAGATTCAAAGATATAATATTATAAAGAAGTAGAAGGATAGTTATTGGTTTTTACTTATTTAAACTTGAAAAAATTACAAAATATTTCTTATTTTGAAAACTTTAACAAAATTAAATATTTCATAATAAATTTTTCATTATTTAAGTAACAAACTTTAAATAAAACTTCATAAAGCAAACAAAAATAAATAAACTTAAATACCTTGAAAATCAACACAAATAAATACAATAGAAAGAACATTAAAAACTCTAACAAAAAAAATATTTTCAATAAATTACTAAACGTATTTATATAATTATATATATATGCAGTGATTTAAACATCTACAACCATTTTTTTATGAATATCTGTATTACCAACAACAGAACAAAATTCATCGAAGGATATTTTACCATCTTCATCTTTATCAGCAAAACAAATTGTTTTATCAACAATTTGTTGCAGTTGTGTATCTTTAAGATTGTTTCCAACCATCATTTTTAGCACCTAAAAAATGTTTAAGTAATTTAATAATTTAAAATATAATTAATAGAATTAAATAAATAATGTACCTGGAAAAGTTCACCATTCGATATGTAACCATCATTATCCATATCATATATGCGAAAAGCAAAACGTAATTTCGACAGTTTATCACCTTTGACACTGAACTGTGACACGCCTTGTATGAATTCCTTAAAATCTACCTCTCCATTACCATCTGCATCAAATATATCAATTACACGCTGCACCAACGGATTTTGTTGTAATTCTGGTAAAGACATAAATTCATCAACACTTAAGGCACCCGAATTATCCAAATCTAATTTGCGAAAGCGCTTGCCTAAACGACGAATTTCATCGGCATCGACTAAAAATATTAAAAGTAAAGAAATAATTTATTTAATTAATTTATACAAAAATAAAAAAAAACATTTTTTAATCAATGTAAATATATTTTATTGTAGATTAGATTAAATTTAAAGGCCTATGTGCCTATAATCGAATCTATATATAATTTATTTATATAATTTATGTATAAAAAAAGAAAACATATTTTTAATTAAATGTTAATAAATATTATTGTACACTGCCACAGACTTTACAAAGATCTACTATTATGTTACACTACGACTTTAAAAAAAAAACAAATAATATATTTAATTATTTTATTGAAAAGGGCGAGTCTGTAAAGGACTATACGTAGACTGCCTTTTGGTTCACTGTTTTAAGATGTCTCCTCTAATTTAATTAGAGCTCAATGTCTCTTTTTTTAAATGTCTCCTATCCTAGTGATTAGATTTTCTGGAGAGTTTCAAAAATTTTCTTTATTTTTTTTTATATTACTGTAACTATACTCCAATATAAATATTAAATAAATATTACATATCCTAGGACTCTTATTGAAAGATGTCCCTATTATTTAATCGCCTTTGCAAAAAAAAATTTCTATCTATCATGCACAGATTTCTTATAACCGACCTCTGAAACAAGCTATCTGCTGTTTTTCAATTTAAGATAAATATTGAAAATAGACCCAGGACGATTTTGAACGGAATAATCGTTAAACGATTTCTTGAAATTGTCTCTTAAGTTAAAAGCATAAATCGTAACCCGTTAAGTTTAGAATTTAGAATACAGATTTATATTAGTTTTGTTAAATTTTGACAAATTTGAAAATCCCACACAATGAAAGCCACCTTGGTCATATATACTCTAGTAAGGGTATACAAATCGCATACGTACAAAGCAAAATAACCCCAAAATGCACCATTAGGGTGGCTCACGTTATAAGGGGGAAAATTAAAAATGAAGTTTTGAATGAGCGCACCCCCTAGGAATATGCCATTGACCAAAAAAATGATATTCCCAAAGTTTTGGAGCAATAGGATTAAAAATGACGTTGCGCCACTCGAGCAAAGTTGGGTTTTCAGTACAAAAAACAGAAATTTTTCAATTCAAGGTCATTTTTTATCTTTGTTACTTGTTTCAACAGTTTTTAATACATACTCATTTGATAGATAATTAAAATATCTTTTTAATAAGATACTGTTGAGCAAAATCGGTTAAAAATTATGTACAAGACACAATAATTAGTTGAGCGACTGTGCTCTGTTTTCTATTTCATACCTTTTAGCTGGCATGTACAATTACGTATTAGGTATATGCTACGATTTAGTTAATTATTTATAAAAAATTATAATTTCAAGAAAACCCTTTTTTTCAGTAATTAATATATTGTGTTTATTATGTTTTATAACATAAATCTGACTATGTGAAGGATAATTTTTATGATAATGTTCGACTACTTGCACAACATATTCTTTTTCCTCATAAGCCTAATTCCTCTTTCTATACAATCATTTATCATATGAAGTCTGGCACAGAATTCAAGTGCATCTCTATAATCTTGCGTCTCCACCCATGGCCAAGGATCGAAACTGATAAAACTATTAGATAGGCAAAAACGATCCAAAAAATTTGTTTTTTCTTCGGTCACGAAATCAATAAGGTTCTTTGAGGAAAATAACTTCATTACTGGGTTCTCACTCTTTATCTAACCAGAGATAGCTGGGAGCTTCGATCTGTGACCGGTAACTCTACAGTTACTAACTACGCAGATGGCTCAAAGATGGTAGGCGGTACGGGAGCAGGTATCTTCTTGAAAGATATGCAGGTAAGACAGTGCTACCGAATCCCTGCTACTTACAGCGTCTTTCACGGCGAGATATATGCTATCGAAAAAGAGGTCAACATTAGACAACAAAGTACAATTCGTTCTTCGAATATCACGATTTTTGTAGATAGGCCGCACTGAAAGCAATTGAATCTAAATTCCAAGATAGTATTAAAATGTCGCGATTCACTGATGAGCATCAAACATCATAAGGTCTCTCTTTGTTGGACATAGTACATTTCGAATACTTGGACATAGCAATATTGAAGGGAATGAACTAGCAGATGATATGGCCAGAAGAGGTTCTGAACTGCATACAGGAGAGGCCGACCTCTCAATACATACACCGATATGTAAACTGTTTAGGATAATAGAGGAAATCAATACGGTGACTAACAATTTATAAAGTAACCGCAAAGATTGTAAGGTCGCTAGAATCTTATGGCCTTATTTGGACAAAAATAAAACGAAAAGCCCTTTAGGCTTCAACAAACCTGCAGTTCGTGTGCTTTCTGGAGTACTAAGGGGGCACTGTGCCATTGCTCCAACGGTGGCGAGTTTCAACAAGTGGATTATGCAGGAATTGCCAAGATGAAGAGGAGGTAAAATCTATCAACCACTTCCTGTGTCTCTGTCCAGGACTTCAAACAAGGCTACTTTAATGTCTTGGGGATCTTTATTTTACTGGCTTGGAAGAGATAACGAAACCAAACTTATCGGATCTCCTCAACTTCATCTGAAAAACCAAATGGTTTAACAAGGATAACAAAGGTTAGCAACTCGCATCTCCTGGTAAAATTTTTTGGGGGCATCCCAATGGGCAATATATGTCTCCGAGTAGAAGTGCTGACAACTGTTAGCACGTACCTTACGAACATAACCTTACCTAGTGTGGGTTAAAATTTTCACACATATGCTCACCATAAAAATGTATATATCTCGTGCAAATTATCCGAGTGATATATAAATTGATCTGTTAAAACAAACCATACCTACTACTACAAAATATGTATAGCGTAGCGATCCGAAACCTTGCATTTGTCAAGGGCGGAAATTAAACTAGGAGTGATAAATTCAATCGTTCTGTCTGCGTTATCCCAATTTTGTTGAACTGTGACTACAGATTCAGCTTCCATTTTGGGACAAATTTCTTCACCGAATTTATTCCAATTAAAATCAATGGAATTTTTAGCCGCTCTTGTTTCGTTTGCTAAAAGGATATTAACTTCAGTCATACTCCCTGTACGACCATTTTCTCTTTGCTTACGAAAAAAATCTTGTTTTGACTATACTTTCAATTCTACTTAAATATTTATATAAATTATTAAGTAGAAATGTATTATTTTTATTTTTTATTAATGTTTCTTCCGTTTCTTGTAAACATTTGCGATTGCATTGTGCATTCCAGCTAAAAGGTATGAAATAGAAAACAGAGTACAGTCGCTCAACTAATTATTGTGTTTTGCACATAATTTTTAACTGATTTTGCTCATCAATATCTTATTAAAAAGATATTTTAATTATCTATCAAATGAGTATGTATCAAAAACTGTTGAAACAAGAAACAAAGATAAAAAATGACGTTGAATTGAAAAATTTCTGTTTTTTGTACTGAAAACCCAACTTTGCTCGAGTGGCGCAACGTCATTTTTAATCCTATTGCTTCAAAACTTTGGGAATATCATTTTTTTGGTCAATGGCATATTCCTAGGGGGTGCGCTCATTAAAAATCGCATTTTAGTTATTCTGAGCCACCCTAATGCACCATCCATAGATTTTATAACTGTAAGAAATCAATAAATTATCATTAAAAAGAGTTTAATGAAAAGCTGTCTGTCATTCACTGAGCAGGAAATTGCCGTCTAAAATCCTAAATGAATGCTTCGAAAAATTGTATTCCCGCTGCAAAGAATATTTCATGTAAGTATTTTAAAAGTCCAAACATGAAATTTGTTTACGAAAATTGTTCAAAAAACATAAAAACTACATCTTTACTTGGCCCACATGTAGAACAGTGATGACTAAAAATAAACTTGCCGAAAACATTAGATACATGAGAGATTTTATAATGTTCATTTTAAGTAAGAAATTAATGTAGTGCCCTGTTATTAGAATATTTATAATGCAAAGAGATAAATAGTGAAAATCAACAAATTTAGATTTCATTCCAAATTACAGGTCAATGAAAAAATAGATCTTTATATTTTAATAATTTTCGCATTAGCGTTTGATAAGATACGAGTATGATAAAACACACTTAGATCATATATAGTAATGTTGTCTGAAAACTAATTATGTAAAGAAAAAGATGAATAGTAACAAACTTGGGATTGACGATTATTATTATACGGAGGGACTAGCAAAAGTTCGCTCAGTTGTTTGTTATGATTGCAGTCACGTTACGGTAATTGTTGTTGCTTTCAATGCAAAATGAAAATTTTGACACCGACAGGTCACTTCATTTTGTATTGAAAGCAACAATTGCCGCGACGTGACTGCAATCACAACATGCCATAACATGTTCACAATGTGGAATAAATTGTTGACAAATCAGTGTCAACTGATTTGGCACAGTTTTGCAAAATTGCATTTGAAGTTTAACATAAAGTAGTCAAAATGGAAAAGAGAAAAAGCAAACTGAATAACAAATTCTTGCCATCGCAGCAAGAGATTCGTTTTGTCATTTTTTAGAGATTCCGAAATTACCGTAAGCCTGTGAAACAGAATACACTATACCTTGTGATCGTCTCAATGTGGTTTCGGAGATTATAACTGGAACATATCATCGTGTGAAGGATACATCTCACGAAAATCGCCAATAATCTTTGGTTGATGAGAATATTGCATTTTAACAGCTATTAAGTCAATAAAGAAAGGACCTCAAATATTCTGAATTTTCTTTTACATAATGATAGTCACTATTACATAAAATGGATTACAAATTTCGCCTCAGCCGCAGACCTACACTGTTGAAAGTCATATAGATCAGTGAAAAATCAATTCTTATTGATCTTCCTAATAAACATTAACTTATCAGCATCCATACTATAGCAACTGATTAGAACGAATTATGCTCAGAATGGTTACAGGCTCCTTTGAGGTCAATTATTGCTTAGTCTGATGAAGTGATAAACAATAATATAGTCAAGGCGCAAAGAGGGGTTTTGAAGAAACCTCAAGTTAAAAAAGAGTATAAGTGCTTAAGTGCACTAGCTCAAAACAGCTTCAACATAATAATAATATTTATTTATTTAAGATTTCAATTTATAATTAATTTAAGTAATAATTTTTAATGAATATAACTATATACTTACAATTGGAGCACATCTCCATGGGCAAAGATGTTTCATTACCCTGAAAAAGAAAAGTAATGTAAATATGTAATCAGCAAAATTCAATTCATTATTTTAAAAATACATAAGCGTAAAATATTAAATTCTCTCTTCAATAAATTTATTGTGAATATCATATTCTGTAATGACTTTAACGGACGGATGTTGAAAACTAAGGAAAGTTTTACCAGTGAGTTTATAGAGAAAAGTTATTACACCACTTCTTTTTAACTTACATAAGAAGATATTTTGGACCACCTACATAATGTCAGAATCTAAGGACTCAACATGCTGACATTCCCTATGCATGCCACTACATTACGGAATTTGTTGAGAGATTACAACAATGTCGTGACGATGTTTATTGGGCTTTTTAAGCCTCTTTAAGACCTGGATTGAAAGGGTCATAAAAGGACATAAAAATTGCAAATATTACGCGGTCTTTTTCTTTTCCAATTAAATCACTGGTTAGTTAACCATAGATATTGTTTAGCTGTAAGAACCTTCGCTTATCTACAACAATGTTATCTTATTTTTTCAATCTGGTTATTTAACCGCTTTTTTAAAAAAAAACTTTAATATTTATTATGGTTTTCCAAAATGGCTGAATGATCACCTCTTTTATAATAGTTGTAGTTTCTTTACGCTACTGTAAATATCTAATGAATGTACATATTTCACAAATATGCTGGATTCAAAAATCTGCAAAGTTGTATTTTGAATCGAAATTTGAATTATTATATTTGTTGTATTACAATACAAACGATTTCATTTTACACAATTAATATTTAAAATTTACAAAAAAAAGAAATTCAATGTTAAAACTTCATCAAATAACCCAATTAGAGATTCTTCGGTTAAAATTGAACTAAATGCACGCAATCTCCTTTTAATCGGAGATTAAAGACTGCAGCACAACCTCCTCTTTTTAGATGAAACAATAAGCGTGTAGATTTATTGATTTATTCAATTTTTAGGGCAGTAATCTATTTTTGATAGCGCAATTTGAGTTTTTAAAGAACTCGAGCAATATGCGTTTAATCGGGGATCAAAGACTGCAGTTTTACCTCCTCTCTGGAACGTTATTTAAGTACATATCTTTATATTATTTTAATATTCTATTTTTTAAGGTAGTTATCAATCTTAGGTAGCATATTCAGAAGCTTTAACAACAACATAGAAGTATCATCTCTATAGCTTGCAACTAAGATATTTTCGTGGCCTGACATCTGTCATGTGAACAATGCGTGTCAAACAGGTTCTAAAACACAAGATTGCTCTACAAATTTTTAGGAAATGGAATGTCTAAAATTGACTCATTAAGTACTGCATTCTAACTATTCCAATTAGATTACCTATTGCAGATACTCATATGTCATGATTTAGGAGTATGATGAATACATATTACACATGTATAACAAACAATGAATCTATATCTATTAATGTATATTTGATTTAATATATAATTATCAAAATATGTCTTTAGCAGTCTTTTTGCTAAACTAAATAATTAATCCAATGCAGATATCACCCTTAACTAAAATCAGTATCTTACTTCTGAATCAAAAAGAACTAACTAATATATGTATGTATAATATTTCAAATACGTTAGGTATACAACTTGAAGATAATGACAATATTAAAAAAATTAATAATAATTCATTTAATAATTCATTAAATATTTTGTTAAAACAACGAAATCTCTCAATGGTTATACACATTAACATGTGACATTAACATAATAGAACACTCAAAATAAAGCTCTTATAATGACCTTAGTCATTTGAATTATACACAAGCAAATTTACTGCAGTATGTAAGGTGTGTGTGCGTATGTATGCAAAATTTCACCCTGTGTTAACTGTTGAATCGATCCATTTTTTTATTAAAAGTTAATTGAGAAAATGGGCAAGCATGGAATTGAGCCTCTTCAAGAAATGAAATTCGATAAGATTTTTTAGTTATTTTAAATTTAATTAGTTTATAGGTATTTATAAATAAAATAAATCTAAAGCAAACAGTATGTTAATTAGAGCAGCAGAATATTCGTCGGGGGGAGGCATGGTGTCATTTGGGGTCTAAATTTGACATGTTCAGAAACAGATTGTCATTAAATTTTTTTGCAAATTTGTTTATAATAAATATATTACATTCAATTTTAAACTAAATTTATATATTTATTAATAATTACCATTTTTATTTATTTCTATAACACTTTCTGACGTTATATGAAAAAGTATTTTAATAATAAATTGGGGCTACTAGGGCTCCACAAAATATGTAAACTTTGTTAGCTTTTATCACACTGGCACAAATTGAGTTTTATTTAAAGTTACTCCAATTCTTAAAAACTATTATCATAAACTATTTGTTTTGTTTTTTTTTCAATCACAATTCAATAATATTTTTCAATTTTTTAAACAAAACACTTTATTAATTATAACTATATTTTATATGCTTTTCATCGGGGGGCTCGAATACACACAAAAATGGCGAAAATGTTTCTTTGATATTTCTGTAGTATTACCAATAACGAAATTTGCACATGTCAAAACATACAATGCAGCATACAGCAATACAGCATTACCGACAATAACAACTGAGCACCCACTCTTATATCGTTATATGCATTTGGAGTTCTTATTTGATCGGTGTTATGTTCTAAAAACTTTATGTGTATATATTTAATTTACACTTATTGTAAAAATTATGAGTTATTTTCTAAAACAGTAAATTATATACATATATGTTATTAAATTAGTGTGTGACGTATGGCTGGCATTTCATACAAAACTGCCTTATCGTCATGTTCTACAGATTTAAGAGTGCAAGTGTTTAGAAAATATATGAAATATTGTGTTATCTGACACACAACAAATATGTTAATGTCCATTTAGATTTTAAGTAGCATTCTATAATTTTTTTCAAATACTGTACGAATTTCTTTGAATCAATAATAAATAATAATAATTATATTTAGAAAATGTTATCTATGCTAAAAGGCAAAATTTTTACCTAATGTATATACAAAATTGTAAATAAAATTAAATTTATATTAAAAAAACTGCAAGTATACATGAATTATAATATCATTTATTTATAACATTTTTAAACATACATATATAACTTATAACAATCAACATTTCGTTTTACTTAACATTAGTAATAAATATTAATTTAGTTAATTTACTAAACTTAATATGCTACACTCCAAAAATAATACTAACTAATATAATCAATATTTTATTATGTTGTATTATTTTTAGTTTCTTTATAAATTTGTGAAATTTTTTTGCTGTTCGGTCATCAACCTCAGTTTATTTTTTGAACACCAATCTGAAAAAGAAATATTATTACTTTAAAAATTTTTTTATAAGTTTGATTTGCCTATTTTTTATTAATAGCTTTATCTGTTTTTATTTTTACCATTTTTTTAAATCATTATTTAAAATTATTTTTATTTTAAATTAAACTATTGAACAGTATTTGATTTGTATTTGTTTTTGAAATACTTGTTCAATAACCACATTTATATAATCCTTATTATCCTTAACCTCTTTTTATACTATAATTTTTTATTTCTCTGACAATTAGTCATAATTTAAAATTTTTAGCTTAATATTTTTAAATTAATTCTAATTTAAAGTTTTTATAATGATATCAGGGAAACTGTTGTAATTTTTATTACCTACTTTACGTGAAAATCAAGTAATTTAAAGATACAAAATAGCTGTTAAATTTTATTACAACGGAGATTTGTTAATTGTATATTACCAGAGGTAATTGAGAACAAAACGGTTCGGAAACACGGTTTGTAACAGTCGCCATAACATACAAGCTAGAAACCTTTACAATAGATGCTTGAGACAAATTTTAAGAATTTTGTGGTCTAGAACGATCAGCAACGGGCGACTGTGGGCTATAACAGAACAAAAGCCAATTGATAAACAAATTGTAAAAAGAAACTATGAGTGGTTGGGCCACATTCTGCGTAAACCGTTCAGCGAAATTGCACATGCTGCTCTAGAATGGGATCCGCAACGAGGAAGAAATCGCGGGCGACCAAGAACTATATGGAGAAGGACAATTAGCAGAGAGTCGGATAAATATTTCAGTGCACTGAGTGCTATAGCGCTTGATAGAAATAATTGAAAATCTTTTGTGATTAAACTAAGTTCTTTGAATTTATATTTTTGAACATGTCAATAATAATAATAATTATTATTTATTAAATTAAATATTTAAAAAAATATGATATACTATATATAACGGTATATATATTTATGCATAAATAGTAATTATATTATTATTTATTAGTACGAAAAAAAGCGCAAATTTTATATTGATAAGCAACCCTTTAAAATATTCACAATAGAATATAGGCAGAGATACTGGCAATAGCCATAATAATAGCAATATAATTTACTAAATATATTAATAACTTAAATATTATAATAACAATTTTAAATAATATGTTTTAACGACTGATATCACTTATCTACGCATAAAATAAAATTACCAAATAATAAACTAGCATAAAAAATTATCGTATTGCAAAAATATTTGCAGCGTGCACCATAAAACGACAATAAATAAAAATTTTTAGTATTTGAACTGATATTAGAACATGACGGATAGTGCATCTATTGAAAGTAGCACGTCTCCAAAAAGTGATTTAAGTAGTAATTTAAGCTTTAATATGGAACACAAGTACGCTTCCACAATCGCCGACAATGAGGTATTAAAATATGAAATTCACCGTTATTCTAGTTTCTCCACCAACTTTTATCCAGAGTAAGTATTTGAAATCATTTTAAAGTTTTTGCATATTTCAATATTTTGCATAATTTTTACGCTCCACTTTGCATAATATTCACAATTTTTTTTTTAAATAAACTGGTCTCTCAGTATGAACGGCATTTCTAATATGCATACAACAACAATGACAACAGTTGCTTATATCATTTTTTTTTTGTTGGACTTAGTGATGTGTTTTTTAATTAGGTATTTGGTTCAAAGAGTAAGTTGTTAATATTGTTTTATGTTATGATATATTTATAATCTATACACATTGCAAAAAAAAAATAAATTAATTAAAAATTTCATTAGTTTCCTTAATCTTGGCATTGAAATTGAAAATAAAATAATTTAGACTAATAGATAGTGAAGTTTTAGTTTTATCATAAACAAATTCTTATTAAAGGTTGATTTTTTTTGTTCGAATGCAAATCTGCCTAATGATGAAAAGATATCTAGAAGGGTTCGAACAGTAATGAATCTTATTTAGTTTCATTGCAATAATATTTAAAAACATAGAATTAATTATATCGAAGTATGGTATATCATTTTGTTATTTATTTAAGAACGAAATAACTCGTTCTTTTTTTATTTTTAGTTATTTTATCATATAAAAATGTATACCTGATAAAAATATTACAAAAACTTGCTTATCTCTTTAAATTTAATAAGTTACGATTTTAGTATATATTTATATTCCTTTTCAGAAATATACTTATGGACTGCCCAAACGACCAGACCTCACGTTGGTCTGCACATACCAATAACCCACCACAGTACCTGACACTCAAACTAAAACGACCAGCAATTGTACAATACATAAAGTTTGGCAAATTCGAAAAACCGCACGTTTGTAATATAAAAAAATTTCGTGTATTTGGTGGGTTAGAGGAAAATAACATGGTACCGATTGCAGAGGGTGGACTTAAGAACGATGCCATTCCAGAAGTATTTAAATTACGTTCTCGAACGGAAGACGGTTCTGAAAACTTAGCTATTTTATTTTTAAAAATAGTACCATTACTTTCTTGGGGGCCAACGTTTAATTTTAGCATTTGGTATGTTGAGTTACATGGGCAAGATGATCCAATGTATACCAGTCCATGTTTGAAAAATTATAATAAGGTAAATACAAAGATTTTGAATTTAATTTCATATAATACTAATATATTGAAATTAATTTAATAGTTACGTGAAGTAGAGATTATAAAATTATGCCTTAAACATTTTCGTCAACAAGGCTATGAGACAGCTTTCAAAGCCTTGCAAGAACAAACCAAAATTGACCTAGAACATAAGCTTATTAACAAGCTGCATACATGTTTAGTTGTAAACGGAAATTTTGAAAAGGCTGAAAACTTTGTTGCTGATTGTGTTAAGGAAGGTCTAATGGATGAGTATTTAGAAAGGCAAGACTATAAGCACAGTTGGATTATGCAAGATGTTGAAAGCGTAGAAAAACCAGGTAAAAATCTAAAATTGTAGTTGTAAAATGCCATGTATATATAAGCATTCGTAATAGGTACACGTGGTGGTCATCAATTAGTAATGGATACCAAAAAAAGTGTAATATATTTATATGGTGGTTGGGATGGTTTTCAGGATTTAAGTGATTTATGGATGTATAATATAATGAATAATCACTGGTCGCTATTGTATGAACATTCCGAAAAATTTAACGGACCAAGTCCACGTTCTTGTCATAAAATGATTTTCGATCCTGTAAGTGAAAATATATTTATGCTTGGTCGTTATTTAGATAATTCAATCAGAACAACAGATTATATAAAGGTACAACTAAAACACAATATATATATATGAACATATATATTTATTTAATAATTTTATTTTGTTTTAGAGCGATTTTTTTTTGTATGACACAAGACAACAAACTTGGTTGCAAATATGTGATGATACTAGTCAAGTAGGTGGTCCGCATTTGGTATACGATCATCAAATGTGCATAGATGCCGATAAACGTACAATTTATATATTTGGTGGTAAAATTTTAACGCCCCGAAGTGTTACAAATTCCACTTTGAACGACCCAGAATATTCGGGCCTATTTTCCTATCACATTGCAACAAATACCTGGACACAAATATTTGTAGACTGCCATCATCCGACTGCTTCAAAGCCTGAAGTTCTATCAATTAAGTCGCGCGTAACGCATTGTATGGTTTTTCATAATGTAAGTTGAAAACAACTTTATACTATAATACACTATAATACACAATATTACATATGTTTGTCTATATATTTAGATATATTTATCTATATATTTAGATATAATCATCTATATAATTAGATATATTCATCTATATATTTAAAAATATTTATCTATATATATATAGATATATATTTATCTATAAGTATTAAAGTATTCACAAAGATATTTTTGTAAATGACTTGTTTGTGTTTGAATGCAACTCTGTATTGATTGATTTAAATATTTAGATCCATTTATTTGTTGAATGTAAATGTATTTATTAAAGTATTTGAATATATTTATGTATACAATTAGATTTTTATATATATGTAGTTGCATATATTTATGTATTAAGTAATACTTACTTCGAAATATCTAAACTAACAACTAAGCAAGAAATTTATTTTTAAATACAGAAAGATCGTAAGCTATATATCTATGGAGGACAGCGTGGCAAGGAAGATATGGAGGATTTTGTTACTTATGATGTTGATGCACAAGTGCTTTCTGTAATTAATAAGAATAATTTTGGTTGCAATGAAATAAGAAATGAACCGCCACCAGGTTATACTTTGCGAGCAACTATCGATTCTGATCGTAATGAAATTTATGTATTTTCGGTAAAAGATTTGTATATATATTAATTTTTGCATTATATTATATATATTTTTATATTTAAAGAGTCTAAGTAAATTAAAAGATCGCAGAGATATGCAACAAATTGATGCTTCTAATTCATTTTGGGTATATTGTATCAAAACCATGAAATGGTCTCGTATATATACTTATCGGCACAACATTTGTCATATAACAGGAGTTGTCAAAAAAGAGCCAAATGAACCTTGTCCGCGCTATGCTCATCAAATGGTTTACGACGATACAGTGAAGGTAAATATTATACATTAAGTATATGTTATAAGACTGATGATTGATACCCAAGCAATTTTGAATTAAAAAAAAAAGAAATAGCTAATAAAAAATAAATTTAATTTTAATAACAAGACTCTTTGTTTATAGTTACATTACCTTTTTGGTGGTAATCCTGGTAAAACATCTTTACCTCAATTACGTTTGGATGATTTTTGGATACTATCATTAGAGAAGTATATTACTATTTAATCTTTAACTAAATTACAATTAATTACAAAATTTATATTAATTATATTTATTTAGGCCAAAAAGAGAAGAAATTCTGAAGCATTGCCGTTTTCTTATACGTAGGCTACATTATGAGGAAATTGCACGAGTTGATTCATTTAAAGCAATGCAATATTTACGAAATCGTATATCAGAAGTGATCGATCATTCAAATGAGGAACAACTTAATAAAGTAAGTCTTACAGTCTTACTGAATTAGGAGTCTATTCAAATCTGTTGAATCTGTCGTAAAATGCTAACTTTATTTTTATAAAATTTGTGCTCTATTCTAATTCAACAATTCGAGGTTTCCGAGCATATTTCTTAATGTACGAAATATTTTAACAAGTAATCGATAAAAATAACTATTTTACATTACTATTTGTTAAATTTAAAATTGTGCTCCTTAATTCTTTCTTATTTTCTTACTTATATGGTAGATAAAATGAAAAGAGTTATAAATATAAATACATGGGTAAGGATATTGTTGAGGTAAAGGAAGTATGAAAGAAAAGCCGATTATTTGGGTACCCGCATGGATTGTGGATGTGTAGAATTTTAATTGAAGCTAACCTGAGTAAAGTTGAAGAAACTTTTACATAAATCCTTTCAAAGCGTTCATATTCTACTCAAATTTAACGTTAAGCAATTATGACAGATAATGAAGAGACTTAGTATATAATTTATATAAATTTAATTGTATCTAGCAAAAACTGAAGGAAAAAAAAACTAAAATAGTTACTTTAAAAAAATTAATTAGAAGAAAAGTATTTTTAAACTATTATATAGTAGTACATAGTTTATTAAATTAACCGTTAAATTTCTTAGAAATCATGAATTAAAATAATAATTTAATTTTTATCAAATTTACAGTTCCATAAATTGGCCTCGTTAATTTTTACATCAAACACTAAAGAGACTGGTCGTGTATGTATGCCGGCACTAAATCAAGAAAATGATGATCAAGAAAATATTTCTGGTGAAGAAACAAACGAAACGACTGAATCTAATTGCAACATAGGTATATTTAAAATTTTATTTAATATAAATAAAAAATCTTAGATTTTTATTTTTTTTTTACTTATAGATACAAGTAAGTCAAGTAGTAGTAATTCGGATAATGAATCATCAAAATCTGTTGTCGTTAATTTAACAAATGAACCTGAAAATTCAAATAAAATTTTAAATTGTCGTAATGCAAATTGTAGAAGAGATCGTCCAGATTTTTGTCATGAGATTAGAACAAGACGTGCATTTTTATTTAATAAAATAGTTCAATTAATGCCTGCTAATATGGTACAACCAACGCGTAATTTAAGTGATTTCGTTGTGATTTAAGCATCGACAAAGTCAATAACTAAGTTTTATATTTTTGATAGCTAAATACGAATGTAAATTAGTTTTTATATACTGTACTTTGAGACACTTAATAATAAAAAAAAATTACTAACGATAGTGTAAGTTTATATTTTTATGCTAACAAATTGTTTTGTCAAATAATCAAAATATTTTCCAATTAAATTTAATAATTAAAACTTAAATTTTTTTAAATAAAAATTAGTTTTTAAGAATGTATGCATATGTGATACTCAAACTAAACATTTTTATAAAACTTAGTTTTCTATTAGCATAAAATAAACATTAAAGTATATAATATATAAAAAAAATAATTAAATTAATAAAAAGGTAAATTTTATATACAAATTAACTTTCGTTTTATTTTAAATTGTATCTTTACTAATTTAATAAATTCTTTCTTTATTAAAATTACAAGGCAGATGAGTTAGCTTCTGGTAATCATTCGGAAAACCTTCAAAAAACTCTGGGCATATCGTTGACATCATATAAACATTTAATGATTTCTTTTTGTGGTGAATAATTTACGACTAAAAAAAGATGAGAACAATGATATGCCGGCATATTTGCGTTTAAGTTGGACGCGTTATTTTAAGAAAAAATCTAGCACTCTCATTTAGATGTCCCGTTAGGTTCCAAGAACGGCCGGATCTACGTCCTAGAGCTCCTTTTAAACCTTTGAGTTTCTTATACGGTTTGGGCAAATACGCCAATAGGCTTAAGTAGATCGTTAGTGTTGCCGGTATAACGTTATCTTACCATCTTTATTGCAAAATGCAGGTTAATTGCAGTGTTGTTAGCGAGAAATGAAATAATTAAAAATTATTTGTTAGTCTCAAACACTACATATTAGCCAGCTATTTTCATATTAGCCAGACTTTTCAAGGTGCTATGGTACATTAGGACAAATAACATCGTCAGGGACCTCAAAATTGATACGATCAAAAAATATATAAAGGATAGAGCCCAGAAATTATTTACGAAAACTGACAGGCTTATCAACACCGCGTTATCAAATCTCAGAATGGTTACAGGCACCTCGGGGAGATATCTGAGATCAATTATTGCTTAGTCAGATGAAGTGACAAACAATAATGCGTGGTTATGAAGAAACTTCGCAGTTAATGGAAAGTAAAAGTGCTCAAGTGCACTGACTCAACTAGTCTCAACATAATAATAATATAGTTTTATAAATTTTAAAATAAATACAAATTTTTTTTTTGTTTTTTAATTGTATATATATTTTTTATTATATTAAGTGTACACTGATAATTTTTTTATCATTTATTAATTTGGATATTTCCAAAATCTATTACTTTATTGTAGGATTGGTAAGAGTTGTGAATACATGTAAAAGATTTTACACACATCAAGCGATATTATTTTAATTTATTAGTAAATATAATTGTAAATTTAGCTGTAAATTAATGGTTTTACATGTAAACTACTCTTGATTTCATTATATTATGTTTGCAAAATTTCTCAAGTCTGTTTAGTTTAGACTTTTAATTTTATTATATATAAAAAAACTTAAAAAATATACATAAAAGGCACAACAAACCACAGCGGAACCCAGAAATATTTTATGGGGAGTGCACTATTATCTTTTCTAGACGTTTTTTTATTTTTGTCTTTTTTTTTCCAATTTAAAACGTGAATATGACTTTTGAAATTCTGTGCGGCTGTGTTTAGTTGACTTTTATGTATACCAAAATGTTTACATTGTAAATTAAATAAATCTTATATATATGTATAATTTGTTTTTATTATTAAAGCCTAAAACTTGCAAATTTTTTCATTATGTTTTACTAGTCCTGCTTTAAGTAAGCATTCATTTTTCATTTTTGAAATTGCCACAACTCAACTTATATAAAGTTAAGAATCATTTTTTTCCTTAAATACGAGGATGTACAGTGATCAGTGTCATTACTTATACTTAACAATATATATATTAATGTGTTCAATAATACGAATTGAAAAACATTAAAATCTTCAATCTCCAATCATCAATCATCAATCTTCAACAATGTTTTATTGTTTAGGCAAACTAAAATTTGCATATTGATTACTCATTGTATAATCTTAAAATTGGCTCATTAAGAGAATATATTCACAATGAATAATTACTGCAAATCTAATTTATAATTTATAATCATCTATCATAAAATAAAGAAGGAAATTAAATTTTCTTACTTCATTTAAGTTTGATATTATGCTATTAAAAAATTTAATATTATTATTAATTTAAAAATGTTTTTATTCAAAATCGTATTGTTTTTTTTCTTCTGTAAATATTGTGCGTAAAAATTTGCCTAAACAAAAATCATTGTTATTTATTTTATTATTATGTTTTTGCCTTTTTTACTTAATTTTTATATTATTACTAAATTTTATTATATAGCTTATGATTTTTATTTAATTAACTTATCAAAATTAAAAATTTTTTTATTATAAAAATACAAAATTCATTAATGTTTTTTATATTGTTTTTATTTCTTTTTGTCCTAAATAAACATTAATGTGTGTTTCCAATGTGTTTTATATATAAATTTTATTATTTATTTTATTAAAAAATTAATAATTTTGACTAGAATTTAATTAATTATTATATATTTGAAAATATATTTACAAGTGCATGCATTTATTTTATACAAATAATATTAAATTTATATATGTTAATATAAAATGTGTGAATTATCATATTTCTGCAAACAATTTTATGTTTAACAAATTTATTATTTTAACATTATAGTTAGAAATTATTTTATTATTTTTCTGTTCTAATTTAAAGAAAAAAAATAAAATAGTTTATTAAAAAATATTTAACTGTGTATAAATCATTTATATTGAACTGTGTTAATATAATATAATCATATAATCATATTAAAACTGCGCATATGGAATGTAGATGGGAGTAATGCAAATATTAGATTTATTGATATAAAATGCATAGTAAATAATTGAAGGAAGAACACAAAAGTATATGGCAATCATATCAACCACTTATTCTATATTGCAGTGAATATATCTTTTCTTAATTAAGAATATAGTAAAAAGTTTACTGAGCAGAAGAAATCATACAAGAAAAATATTGTGCTGATTCAAGTTTTTAACATACAATTATATTCTGTTTATAGACAGTTAAAATTGTAGTTCGAAATATATGTTTTTTATTATTTAATTGTATTTAAAAGTTGATATATTTTTTCATCAGTTAAGGTTTAGGTTTAATATCAAATTTTGTTTTTTATTGTTTCAAATTTTTTTTTTTACAACTAATAAAATTGTTTACTCAAGAAAAGTGAATATATGAGCATGAATATGAAAAGCGACTAACTAAACTTTAAAGATATAATTATGGTTTACAATTTTTATTAACGTTGGCAGCACATTGCATTAAAAAAAAATATTATGTTATCAAAACTAACAACTCTATTAGGTGACAAGCTAAGATCAGATCTGTTCGCACACTTTGTAAGTAAAAATGTAGTACTATGAAATTAAAAGTGAAGAATTTACAAACAAACTATAAAAAAGCTTTCGAGTAAATAATTGTATGTAATAATTTATAAATTCATATTGTTGTTATAATTATTGTTGTCATAATAAACATTATTAATTATCAGTAACTTCAACTTTATCCGATTTTTAAATCTTTCAAATTTCAGTATATAGACATGTATGACTTCCAGGTGTAAATAATACTAATATTTACTATTACTGAGTACAATTAATTGCACAAACGGATGTATTATATGTTGTTTAAAAATTAGTTGACTTTGAAATTTAAATTAATGTATATGTTTTTATTTATTATTTTTAATTTTGAATTGAACTAATTAGTCAAGTGTTTAAATAACAATAACAAACTACAGTCCACTGAAAATGATTTTTAAATATAATTTAAAAAGTTGTGTATCATTTGCACAAATGACCAATAAACCGATTACAAAATAAAAAAAAATTATAAATAAAAATGTATAAATTATATATTTCTTTTTACATCAGTTATACAAAGTCTACTTACAATCCTAATCTGTCAAAACACAACATATTCTTAGCTCCGTTTTATTATAAGAAAACCTGCACTTATGCAATTAAAATGCACTCTCCCAACTTATTTAATAAATACTAAAGATATTCAGAAGGCTTTTGTTAAAAACAATATATCTTTACTATTTACATTATCCTTAAAAGTACCAAGTGCACCTACAATTCCAACAAATAAATTGTTTAAAATTTAAAATTGAAACTATAACATAAAATATTACTAAAATTATTTGCATATATATTTGTATATCAATTCAACATTTAAAGCGTAAAATATATTTATAAGCGTAGTAACGTTCTAACTGAAAACAACAAGGGGCTATAATTATGTCCAGTAAAAAGGCACAAAACGCTAATACCCACCAGCGAAATGATTGGTTATCGCTTCAGAGATAATTGCCATTCGACACCTAAGAGAGTAAATATTGTTAGAGTTTTTAGAATTTTATACCGATTATAGCCCCCACAAAATAATATCTATATTTCAATAATCAATTTCATCATTTGTTTTTAATATGTTATTTTGGTTGTTATGTATAGTAGTATTATACTACTATTATATTCATCTGATCATTTTTACTATTAATTATTTATTTATATAAATAAATATCATATTATATTTTGAATATGTATAATGGTATTGATAATGCTATAAAAAGTTTTGAATATGTTTGCAAAAAGGTAAATGTATATATTTCATTATGCTATATAAAAGATTAAGTTATTGATGATTTACAATGCATATTTGTGTTTCAATTTTGATTTTTCCTTTTTTTTTTAATATAATTAAATAACATTTATGTATCTATATAAATAAGTAAATATATTTCAGCTAATTATTTCTTTATTTTTAGTTTAATTTTTATAAATATTGCTGTTGAATTATGAGTTGGTAATTTATAAAAAATTTTTTTTTGTATTAATATTATAATAATTAGAATATGGATTGCTTATTGTATAAACGCTTCAAATTGCAGGCCAACTGACAACGTTCATTTGCTGTTACAAACAATTATACTCTCATATATTTCTTTATATCGTTAAGTGAACTTTATTACTATTTCTTTCCGACTTATTTCTAGGGCTTCATTGATTTTTATTTTAAAACAATAGGTCTTAAATGTTATCCGATATCGTAATGATAAATAAATATTTTGAATTCTTGTACACTTCAAGCAAAAAACTGAACTACAAGATTTAGAATTATGTATTTGTATTTATTGTTTAGTAGGTTCACTTAAGAAAACCTTACCATAAACGGCGAAATATAATTTATTGCGTTAATGTAAATGAAAATCGGGTTATATATAATATATACTAATTGGTATATTTTTTTATTTGTAATATGAATACAATGTAATTAGAATAATTTCACGATTAACGTTACGATTTATCTTCATCTAGTATTATTATTTTATATACTCTATTGTTATAGTTTTAATATTTTAAATTATTTTTATGTTGTATTTATATTTATAACATTTTATTTCAACGTAATTCCACGGATATTAATCAACTCCATTTAATATTTCTGATGTTAATCTTTTCCTGATTAATAAAAGTTTAAAATTCCTGAAAAAAATCAATCAATGAATTAATTGTACATTACGCACGAAAGTTTTTGTTACTGAAATCGTAAGGTTAATTATGGTCCACTCTATATTTGTGTATTTTATATTACTCATAACCTAAAGGCATTTTTGCTATTTTAAAAATTAACGTGCATATCAATTATATAAATTTTATTATATGTAATAATTATTTCTGAACATCCAAATGGTATTTGCAAGCTATAGAACTTTTCAATCACAAAGGACCTGTGTAGTCCTATTAATCGTTAGTCATACGTATAAGTTTTTTGGTCAATAACATCATATTATATAATTTATTGATTATATTTGTCTTTAGCAATGACTTTTATAATAATTAAAAATTTTGTATTTGTTTTTTTTTGTTTTTGTTTTTGTAGTGTGAATGAAAACATTCATACCAAAATTTTGATATATTAATTAACACTATAATAAAGAAAAATTAAATTATGATTCATTTGTTAAGATTTTTGGACGGAAAAGTAAATCATTTATATAAAACTTTAATTAAAACCAAAGAAAACTTTCAATAAGATAAAAATCTATTAAATAATGTATTAATCAAATAAATTAAATAAATTTTTTTCATAAACAATTGCTGTTTTTCAAAATTTGTAGAATTTACTAATAAACAGAAATAATGTTTTTAATTTATTTTTTTAATTACTTACGAAATGTTGAATTCTTAATAATTCAATCATATATTAAAATTTTTATAGTTGTACCTTTTCTCAACTTATCTTTCTGTGCCATTAAAATTCCGTTTATTTAAAAATATAAAATCGAAAAATTAAAAAGTGTATAAGGATTTTTAATTTGTATTGGTTTGCCATATAACTGTAGGCTTCATATAAGGATTTTTAATTTGCATTAGGTTGCCGTATAACATTAGTTGAAATCGCTCGTAACAAAAAATCAAAATAATTTAAAACAATTTACTTTTAATCAAAATAATTAAGATAGAGAAAGAAATAGCGTTCACACTGGCTAGAATTTGATAAGATTTGTATGTTCGAAAACGAATACGGTTTATTACTTACGAATTTTCCATATTTCACAAAAAAAAAGGGAAAATGTATTCACAAATCTGGGGAATGTCTGGCCAAAGTCAGCGTAATAAAAATGGGTGTAGATATATATTATAATCATGAAATTAAAGTGGTATTGTTTGAACTTTTAATTAAATAAAGTAAATAATCTAATAATTAGGCGTAAATTGGTGTTGATGTGTTTATTTAAAGTAAAAGGTTTACGATATTGTTAAAGAGATATTATTTACTAACTATTAAAGTAACTTCTTGTACTCTTTTCCTTATTCACACACTCGTTTATCAACAGTTTATGTTTTAATTCCTATATAGCACGTATACCTAAGCATATAAAAAATTTTGACTATTAAATATTTTAATGTCATTCTTTCTATTAAATAGCATTTGAGAAATAATATATGTGAAGTGAGTGCACATAAGGTCAAATGTTAAAACAAACTTTAATACATTAAATGTTCAACCAATAATTATAAATTGTTTAAATTAATAAATTATTATATTATATCAAATGTTAAAACAAACTTTAATGTTAATGTCATTAATAATTTTAAATTTTCCTATTATATGGAATATTATATTTATTATTATACAAAAATTGTATGTTATATTAAAATTTTATTTTATTTGTATTATTTAAAATTTGTATTAGTTGTTTTGTAAATAAACTATATGAATAATATCCAATAAAAATACATGAAATAAAATGATTAATTAAAAATTTAAATATTTTACTATTTTATTTAATTGTTTTAAGTTCACTTTCTGTTAATAATGTGTCTGTTATTTAAAAGCTGATGTTAATTTTTTATAAAAACAGTTTGTTGGTTTTTATATGTAAATTTATTTATATAGCTGTTTCCTATATAAAAACTTATATTCATATAAATAAATATATTTCATATCCGTATTATTGTTTAAATGAAAAACGTTTATAAAACCTTTTAAATAATGAACAAATTATTAACATTTTTTACGTTACTATTAAATAGTTAAAAAAAATACTAAATTATAATAATTAAATATGCTATTAAATATTTCATAACATTTAAACTATAGACATTTATCTAAGAATATTTTATTTTATTGCGAGGGAGCAAGAAGGAGAGAGAAGCACTTGAAAGTAAAAGGAAGAAAGTATTATTTTAGCAATTATTTAAATTATCGAAGCATAAGAATCATTTTTAATATGAAAAAAAAATGATATATTCTTTCCTATATTTTTAAATAATAAATAACAATAACAAGAAAAAAAATATAACACATCACATTCAATTAACTTTATAGCTTCAATATTTAATGATTAAAATATTAAAAAAACTAAAAATATTTCTGTATTTTTATATTTGAAAAAAATGCAGCTTTTTATTTATATTTAATTAGCAATTATAAAAAATTTTAAAGTTAGAAAAAGCTTAAAAAGTTAGAAATATTGATGTTTATGATAATGAATTATTTTTTTAATATTCCTTTGGTCCCTTTTTGCAACATAATTTTTATTTAATAAATATAAAAATTACTACATATAAGATGTGCTGAAATGTAATTATAATGATTTTATTATATTAGTTGTTATATATATATAAAAGGTAGCAAGAAGGGTATGCAAGAAGGAAGGTAAACAAAGGTAATATAGAATAGTAAAAAAAATTATGAAATCGATTATAGTAAAAACTGCATTTAAAGTAGAAAATTAATGATACATTATGAATTGTATTTCTGATAATTGGCTTTTAATTCCTGCTAAATCAAACTTATTTTTAGCTTTAAGTCATTTTATTTGTTGCCTTTTAATGAATCGTTATATAAAGATATTTTTAATTAATTTTGGAAAATACTCAAAATTCACTACAAAATTATTTGTATATATATTTGTTTTATATAATTTTTTTTAAATTGTCCTTATGTGCACTTTTAATACTTTAAAATATATTAATCTTTATAATTTAAGAAATAATAAACTTTAAATGAAAAAATAAACCTGCTTTTCGAAATTAATAAACTAAATCTTCCTCATAATAATTAATTAAAATGTTACGAAGTCTATATTAACATCCTCATTGTTATTCTATTATTATTTATATAGAAACAATATCAAAGATTAATAATAGAAATAATAGGAATGAATGTGTTTTTAACTTTTAATTTAGTTTTTGAATTAATACAGTCTAGTCTCACTGTTTCCGCGCCGTATTCTTTATATTCCTTATATTTGTTTTCAAGGTTTTTCGGAAATGTTTTCAAATTAAAATTCAGGACTTAAATTCGTACAAAAACAAAAACTTAATGAATTTTCTGTGCAATAAACTAAACTTGTGAATTTTCTTTTATAATAATATAAATATGTATATATATATGCTGAATATTTGGTTAGACTTAATTTTAATGGTCAAATTAAAAATATGTATATATATGGTTAGTGCTTTACATGTGTGCGCATGTTTTTTTTATTATCAAAATGCATTTAATAATTTCATTTAACTAAATAATTAAAATTAAAATATACTAAAATAAAAGAGATAAAATATATCAATTTTAACAAAACATTTTATTTGTTTTATTTATTTATTTTTTTTTTTTGTTTTTAATATATAGTTTTTTGTTTATAATAATTTTTTGACATACATTTACACATCATTATTTATAATTTTTTATCTAATTTTTTTATTTGCAAGATATTAATTTTTCTATGTTATGAATGAAATCGGTTGTTTTTGTTGTAGTTTTTGGTAATTTTTTAATTTACATTGAATGTGGTTCATTTCAATACAAATAATGTTTAAATATAATTACAATTATTTATTATATTTTTCACACAAAAAAAATTTTATTGATCAAATTTTTTTCTGCCTTGTTTTAGTTTTAATAGGTTTCAATCAAAAATGATTTTAGCATTCGTTTCTTACTATCATAAAAATTATAATTTAATTTATATTCTTGTTGTTAATTGTTTGCCAGTAACAAAATTTCTTGTTCTAATGTTCTTCAGTTTGACTTTCGACTTTTGACTTTTGACTTTTCGCTTTGTCAAATTACAATATTTTCTTTGTTGTGATTGTTGTTCTTTTTATTTTAATATTATTTATATTAATTTAAAAGTATATTAGGTTATTGTAGCGTTAAAAAAATTTTTACTTTTACTTTTACTTTTACTTTTTAGTTTCTTGATTTTTAATTGGTTTAATTTCCATACACCAATTTTATTAATGATACTTTCATATTGTTTTACTTATATTCTTTTAGCGAAAAAAGGAATTATATGAATATAATAAAATCACAAAAATAGTTGTTTGATCCAAAATCCAGTTTAGACCAAATTATATTCCTTCAGATTTGATTGAAGTATTGTGTCCTTTACAGCTGCAAACACAAATCTTATATTTTCAGTATCTGAAAAAATTAAACAAAACGTTAGCAAAGAGTTTATATTATTTTCAATATTTAAAATGAAAATAAGCAATTAGTTTATTCAATTATTTCAAAAATTCAAATATTTTATATCTAAAAAAATATATTAGAAAATTGCTTATTACGTTATAAAAACAGTACACACAAAACATTTAAAACAAAAATTGGTTTTAAGTTAACTCTTTCTTTCCAGTATATGGCTAATATATATATATATAGTTATATTAAAAATATTCTCAAATAATTTTAAATTTAAATATAAATAAATAAGTATTTACTCTTATATTATTATTATATTATATTATATATTTTATTATAGTATATTATATTTTATATTATATTATATTATAATATATTATATTATATATATATCATTTATATACATATATATTTAAATGCATATATTACTTTAATTAACATATACTATGCTGTATATTACTATATGCAAATATACAATTTTTAAACTATATAATATGCTTTGTGCACATAATCTACTAGTTATATATAAAATACAATATATAGAGTACAATATATGTAAAATACAATTATTTATAAAATACAATATATATAAATTTTGTATAGTTTATCGTTGCAAAAAGTAATTCTACCTTTTTATATCTAATTATTTATTTATTATAAAAAAATAGTTTTATATATATACATTGTCATGGTAAAAATTTTTTGATTACAACTTTTTCTTTGGTAATGCTTTAATTCAATAAGGAATACAAACAAACAATTATATTTTAATAAAACAAACAATATCAATTAATAAAAAAAATTATTTATAATTAAAATTACACTTGAAATTTTTTTATTAAGCAATTGTTTATATTTTTATAAGCGAAGAAATACATATTTTTACAAATTGTAGTTGTATTTTCAGACTTTGAAATATTGTTAATGTTTTGGTAGTCCGTAGGGATCTATAAAGTGGAGACATTGAAAAAATTTACAATACGTATGGATGATAATGACTGTGATTACAAGGTACCTGGTGTTTTTGTGTTATAATAACTCATTTTTAGTTTTAAAATATTAATTTTTTTAGCTAAATAAGGGTTTTTTCTGTCAGAAAGATTTTATCAAAAAATAATTTGTGTTTGGTCTTTTTTTACCATTCCTCGCAACCATAATTGCCATATTTAAATTTTTTTAAGGTAACTTTTATTAAGTAGCTTTACTATATCTCGTAAATCATTGCATCGATTTTATATAGTTAATATGTCTAAACCCTACAGTTTTATTGAGATAAGCCCAAAAATAAGTTACACACAATAGTCCAAACATATATCAAACTAGTCATTAGCTAATTTCATGTGAAAAATTATTTTGCTATACAATTTAAAAAAGTCATAGTAAAGATATATAACAATAACTGCGATACTTTGATATATATACCAAGGTAATTTATATTTTGATATTCTTTAAGTCTTAAATGCACTTTTGATATAGAGAATTTATTTATATGCAAAATATGTATAGTCTTTTATCAATAACATATTAAAAATTATAACAGAGTTAAAAAAATCAATATCGGATAAATCTTTTTCAAATAAAATTTAATAGAGTTTTCAATAAGTAAGGTTTCTATTATATATTATAGTCATAACTGTTATATTGAGGTTAAAATCAAAGTTAATAAAGTTTAATAGATATTAAAAGCCAATATTGTTCTGAGAGAAAAAATTCTATACTCTATTAAAATACTTTAATGTTTTATAGTTTCAAGAGTTTATGCTAATTTTATGTAGTAAAAAAATAGAATATATATATGGCAACCCAGTGAACAGAGTACTAACAATATCTTAAGCTTCTAATGTTATAATAATCTTTGACTAACTTTGTGGAGAGAATTATGTACAGATCCTGAACTGTTGAGTAAAAAAAAATATAATTTGGTATAAATGTTGTTACATTTTTATTAAATTAGCAGATATAATAAAGAAATAAACTTAAAACAAATCAAAAAACATCCTATATATATTATAAGCCCACCATATAACGAAACGATATTATATCTCAGGGCGGAGTCACTTGTCTTCCCAAACGACAAAGTTCTTGGGGACTACAACAACAACATAAAATACTGATCAACTTAGTGACAATATTGATATTTATTTTGTATTCTAAATACATTAAGACTGAAAAGTTTTCGGAAATTCTCATTTAAAATTCGCGCGCTGTATATTTTTCGATATTTTAAGTTTATGTAGTTTGGCAGCACTGTCCTTAATTACTATGCCAAAAATGAGCGCGATCTGTCAGACAGTTCGTTTACGGCAGCTGTTGAAACCAGTTCACCTCAGTAGTGCGTTGCGAAATGTCTTCGACGGTCGTACGACCGTCCTGAAAGGCTTTGTACCACTCATAAACTTGAGTTTTCGATAAAACTGATTCCCCATAAGCCTTTTGTAGCATTCGCAACGATTCTGCACACGAAATTTCGTTCGAAACACAAAATTTGATGCAAACTCTTTGTTCAATATTTTTTTCCATTGTTTTTTTCGCAACGCACTACTGAGGTGAACTGGTTTCAACAGCTGCCGTAAACGAACTGTCTGACAGATCGCGCTCATTTTTGGCATAGTAATTAAGGACATTGCTGCCAAACTACATAAACTTAAAATATCGAAAAATATACAGCGCGCGAATTTTAAATGAGAATTTCCGAAAACTTTTCGGTCTTAATGTATTATAGAATTTATAGACTAGTCTGAACTATTCAAAATATTTGTTCAATTACAAGTATTTGAATATTTTAATATATCGTGGATATAAACTTGTGAAACCTTAACTATTTGAAAAAGAATATTACATTGACTGCCGAGATAGTTAGTAATAATAACGTTTACATATTTAATAAATCAGGTTAAGTTAATATAGCTATTTTTCCAGTTGATCAACTTAGTTAGGAACTCTAGTTCAATATCATACTGCTCCTTAACATGAAATTCTAATTATTGTTACTGTTGTTGTAACCTGCTGAGACCTGTAAGCAGATAACATGAAAGGATATACAAGACAATTACATGGGTGTGCAAGTGGTGGATAGTGGTTGGGGGTGATGGAGGGGAAAATGTGGATAAGAGGTTGATTGGGTGGGTAGGATTTGATTGAACATGAACCCGGGTCCAGATGAAAAACTTAGTCACTTTAATGGGATGGTTTCAAAGATCAATTGGACGGAGGTTTGTGTGCTTTGTAGGACTGGAGAACAGATGGGCGAGGCCATGGAGAGTAAAGCTGCAATTTGGGCACACATTAGGTATAGACGTGTTTATACGTAACAAATAACTGCTTAGCACTTGGTCATATACTGATCTCAATTGAGCTAGGACAAGGGAGACGTCGTTCTTCCAAGGAAGATAACTTTAATCATAGTGCTAAACATAATAAATTTTTATAATAATAATAATAAACAATCGTTTTTTAATATTAGCAATAATAATGAATTTTGTAATAATAATAAAAGTTATAACAATAAAAATTATGGTAATAATATTTTAACAATAACAATAATAAACAATTAATTATTATATATATATTATAATTTATTTGTTATATATTATAATAATATACTAATTTATATAATTATTTATATATTATAATATATATTATATATTAATTATTATATATATATTTACTTTAAGTAGTAAAAAGTTAACACGTCGTAATACTTTAAAATTATTATTCTATTTCAATATGTTATATATACAAGTATATATAACTCTAACGCATATTCAAAAATTAAAACAACACTTAAATAAATTCATTTATTTATCGTATTTTTTTTTATAAATAAAATTCAATTACAAACGATAATGAAATATTTTGCTGTAATTATGAATATATTAAATATTATTACATTTAACCCAAATTGAACTCCTTTAGAGCATTTTGCATAATAGTATCTTTGACAGCGCAGAAGACAAGTTTAATATTTTCGGTATCTGTGATTTTTTTTTAAATTTGTAGTTCCAGTAATTGAAAAGTTTAAAGAAAAAATAATATATATAATTAGATATATTATAAATTATAATTGATATACGCAAACCATACTTATGAATTGTACATGAAAGCAAAGCAAATGCATACGCGGATTTTTTAAATCCTTCCATATATAATAATTGAGAATTACTAAATTAAAAATACTTAATAAAAATTATTACAACAATATTTATTTTTTTATTTAATCTACAAATCAACCATATACAGCCTTTCAACAATTTCTCATACACCCATTCATACCAAAATAAAAAGTAAATTTTACATAAACGTACGGTTACCTGTAGCACACGTGAAATGAGAATAAATAATCTTTTCGGAATCGGGGTTTAAGTCTACAAACATACGAAGTATGAACTCACGGGCGGCAATTGCGTCCCTTTGTGGACCTATGAACATTAAAATAAAAAACGAAAATCAAAGCAATATAGCATTAGAAAAACTACGTTTATAAGCAATAAAATATCTATTAAAATAAAAATATTATTTAAACTAGAATAATAGAATATTTATATGTCTAGCAAATTACACTATATTACAATATTTAAAGCGTCAGCAACTAGCAAGTACGATGTGTGTGTCATCTTTCTTTTTTAAATAATTTAATAGAGTAACCTGTTGCTGTAGTAAAGTGAGAATAGCATTGACGTTCTGGATCAGGATTGCACACTAAATATTTCTTCAGTATAAAATTTTTTGCACCCATATGATCACATTTGGCACCTTTGACATTTTTTAAAATTCACATCAATTTTGCGTTATATATAATGTATTTTAGTCAATAAATGAATGTAAAAAGACTTTCAAATTTCATGTATTATTTAAAATAATTAAAAAAATGATTTATAATTAAATATTTAAACTTACCATCATATTCGGGAAAATAATCTACCAAATGCGAATACATAATTTTTTCTTCTAATAAATCTTTCTTATTTAAAAAGAGAATTACTGATGAGTTCTGGAACCACGGATACGTGATAATTGTTCTAAATAAAGCTTTTGATTCTTCCATACGATTCTTTATTATTAAATTAAATATTAAATAGTATTAATAAATTTATTCTTCATATTTAAATGAATATGTTAACAAACCTCATTGTCAGATTCGAATAAAATTTGATCATATTCCGATAGCGCAACCAAAAATATTATGGATGTAACATTCTCGAAACAATGAATCCATTTTCTTCTTTCGGACCTCTGACCGCCCACGTCTACCATTCTGTATATGAAAAACAAATTTATATAATATTTGAATAAATAAAAAAATTTTGTTTTTTATTTAAGGTGCAAAAAATAAATATTCAAGCATTAAATAAAAAAATTAAGTAATTAAAGTTTAATAAAATATAAAAAAAAATATATATTAAATAATAAACCAAACCTTCTATAACTAGCATTTACCGTTTTCTAAGAAAAGTTCTGTAAAAATATTCTTTTCAAATTATTTTAAAATACCTAAATATTATTCCATCTAAATCAAATGGGTACTCAAGAATTCCAGTTGTTGGAACACGAGCACGTAAAATATCTTGTTCTGTTGGTAAATACTCAGCCGCTTCAATACGTTCTAAATCGCTTAAATAACTGAGAATAAATGATTTATTTATTTTATATTCTTAGTAAATGATTTTTAAGTCTTTAGATTAAAATGAAGAAAATTATTTTTCAATTGCGCTGTTATAGTAACAAAATTGAATGACAACGATGTGATTTTGACGTTTTACATTGATACTGGTTGGACATTAGTTTCCATCAACTCAACCGACTCTAATCGTCCAAATTTCTGATGAAATTAAAGCAACATATTTTAATAATATTAGCTTTTTAACATTCTATCCAACTAAACATATAAATCTCATAATTAAAAAAATATATCTTATTAATAGCTTTACCATTCCCATCTTAGTCTATTTAATCTTATCGATTATTTGATCTGTCGACTAATAAAAAAGGTTCAAAAAAATATATGAAGACTACATTTGAAGGACTTAAAGGTCCTAAGAAGTATAATATTATATTGAAACATATATATCTTATTAGTAATATATCTTATCAGTTCCTTATTAATAGCAATCTCTATTCTGATCTATCTAATCTTATTGATAAAATATTAGACACTTAAGAAGTTTCAAAAAATTATATAAAAATTTAATTTAAAGGTCCATTATATATAAAGGTTTTTAGACCAAAATGTGAAATTGGTTAAGAAATTGTATTAATATATTATTTCTATATTATATTGTAATGTTTAAAAAACTAACAAAAGAAACTCATTTATCAATACAAAAACAATACTATATATAAGATTATAGAATCATATGAACGGTATGCTAATATTATTTAATATTTTGTAAAAGAAAGAATAGAGAAAATTAATTTTAAATTTAAGTATGTAATTTTTAAGTTAGTAATTACAATAAAATTAGTTTAGAAACATGCAAAATTAAAGTTTTAAGAAAAAAACTTCCACCAATATGAAAATTTAACACTTATATACCCAACTATTATTTATTTAAATACCTAAATCGTATTTCTTCTAAATCAAACGGATATTCAATAATCCCCGTTGTCGGCACACGAACCCTTAAAATGTCTTGTTCGGTTGGTAAATAGTCTGGTTGAGCCACACGATCGAGGTCCATCAGATAACTATTATATTTTTTTAACAAAGTGTATTAATGACTTTATGCATGATTATATATTTTTTTTAATAAATTTTTTCAAACAATATATATTTTTAAAAAAAATCATCACTTATTATTATTATTATTAATAAAATCACTTACTATTTAGCTGAATCTGTTAGTTGATACTCTCTTCGTCGATCGTAGCATTCTTGTATACCAGTATCTGCCCATAGATTTTTGATTGCTGACAAAAATGGATCTTCAAAAGTCGTTACTGTTTCGTAATCAATACTCATAACCAAATCCGCAAGTTCCTAAGCGAGAAAAATTTTATTATTGTAATTAAGTATTTATACTAATTTATTAAGACTTACACTATGTTCCGCCTTTCCATATGAAATCTTTAACATATCCATAGCTTTGATCATTGATTGCATTGCCATGAATATATTTTGAAAAACTAATTTAATATAACCTCGTTTATCTTCATCAGAGTAACCGCTTCCGTGAATAATTCGCATTTGTTTAATAAACGTTGATTTACCGGATTCACCAGTTCCTGTTGAAAAAAAATATATATAGTATATATCAGATATTTATATATCTGTGTGGATAATTGATGATTTGCATAAAGGGCTAAAAAAACCATAATTCTGCTTACTAAAATGAATTATATCTGTAAGAATACTGATGAAGTTATCTTGAGACCTAAACATATTTCTTTCTCCTTGCAAACATTTCAGAGTATCAGTTGCAGGTAGCAAAATTTAATATAAAATTGATTATTATTTTAGGGGTTGCTTTTAAATTAGATCATTTTTAAATATATCCGTCACTATATTCAGATTGAACTAATATCTATGGCAGATATATGTTTTTAACTTCTTGGTGTTACAAGAATCTCCAATGATATGAATGAGTAATTGTACTTTCTGTTGCCGTAAGTAGTGGTCTTTCACCGTAGTTATCAATGCGATTAATGAGTCGTTCAACTATTTCCGTCAATCAAATGTAATTTTTGAGAGAAAAGGCGTTGTTCTTCTATGAAACACTGTACTCTCTGGAATATGACGCAGAGAGTAGTGTGGTATAACTTAAAAGCAAGAATGAGGAAATATGTGTGAATATTGAATTTAACCTGGATGCAGATGAAGGAAATTTGCCACCTCAATATGGATGAGCTATTAAGCAACATAATTCAAATGTTTGTGTATATATTTGGACAGAAAATCAAATAAGTGACGGGGTAGATCTGATCGCTTCTGTTTCTCTCACTGAGAAACAGAAGTGTTTCTAGTGAGACAAACCAGTTTTTAATACATTCCTTTAAATTTCCAAGTCTATTACAATATAATAAATAGCTTCTAGCCGTGACTGTGTCTATGTCACAGAAATCCAACTCAACAATGTCAATCAATTTCCACATCACCACATCTGTTAAAGGCTTCACAAGCAATCACATTAGTTTATGTGAAACTGGGTTACACAAAAAAAAACAGGTCTATTTGGCTTAGATTTTACCTAAACTGATTGTATTTCTGAATTATAATAGAATACATAAATTTAGGTATATATAATCTCTGAAAATATTGCAGTTAGTCATTTAGTAAATATATGTTTTCGGTAAATATTTTTAGAAAATCTTCTTAAAAGACCCGTTTACTATTATAGACCGTAATCGTTTAGCAATTAATTTCAAAAAAAAAAAAAAACATTTGTAAGGTTTCTAGGTTTCACATGTTGACTAAAATATTGAAATGTATAAACATGTATCACAATTACACTCATAAATATAAAAAATAATTTAATCTATATATTGATTACTTAAATGGGTGAATATTTTCTTTTATTAGTTATTCTATATATTGTAAGCGATATATATAGTTCAACATTCAATCTAAATTTAAGTTTATAATAGCTTTCTTTAAGTTACGTTTTTTTTTGTAATGTTTCCTCATATTGTATTAATATATATTATATATTTTATTGATATAACTTACCCAGTAGCAGTAATTTAAGTTCTCTTCGCGCATCTCGTTTGTCTCTACGTAATTGTCTTTCGATTTCTTGATTAATGCGCTTCTGTTCCTTGGCTTCTTCAGATAAACAGCACTCCATACTAACAAAATTTTTAGCTGCTTATGCTGCAAACTGTCCACTGTAGGCTAATATTTTTGTAAAAAATGCTCTTCCGTATTCAAAACTTTGGTTTGAATTGAGTTTAATCTAAGAGTGTTGTTGTTGCTAGTGTTCCTTCATATATTTTGTCGCTTAAAGTACATATATATATATATGTATATTTATAATATATATATATATATATAAATATATATATTTGAGTTCCGATTATTAATATTAAAATTATTACGTCTCCGTAATAAAGTTTTTCAATTCTCTTAACATGCAAATCAGTTTTGTTAAAATCCTTAAATATTGTTCCAACAACGTTGAAAGTTAGAGAGATTATTAGTTAATTTGTTGTTCGTGATATTCCTTATGGCTCAGCTGCACATTTAACCAGTTTCGGTAAATTATTCCTTATTAAAAAATTTATTAATTATAATTTATTATAATAATTATAATAATTTTGTTGAGTTATAAATTGTTTTAATAATTTATTTATTTTTGGTATCTATTTATTTATTTATTTATTATTATATTTTACTCAGGTATCTACGAAATAAAAAACGTTGCCTCTTGAACTGAGTTGAACAATGCTGAGGACGACATCGACGACTGTTTATGTTGTAAAAGTAATTTTAAAAATTCCATAAATACCTGCAAAAAGAAAAGTTTTGCTATTAAATTTACTATCTATTACTATTTACTTAGCTTAAAATTGTAACAGTAATGAAAAAATAAAAAACCGCTGTAAAACTAACCAAGTGTTGACACTTCGGCAGTTTTCGATGTAATGTTAAAATTAATTATTTTGCTAATATGTACATCACATTTTCTGCATACAAATAGACAAATATATTCGGAAATACAAATACACACAAGAAATGGTCACCTGAACCGAACCTAAGAAATAGACAAAAAAGAATCTATTTTTCCGATTTCCGTATTGCAGCAACTGAGTTTAGCGGTGGTGATTTTATTACGTACGGCTTCTCATCACAGAGGACGAGCACATGGACAGTGTTGAACGTATTATTACAAACAGACCATCATACCATAAAGAATGTATTCTAATCCAATTGTCTTGAACTTCACAGTCCAATACCGAGGTCAATACGACATATAGATATCACATGCAAACATATATATACTAGTTCAAATTTACATGTCTGTCAATAATATTACTGAAATGTTTATAAAACAAACATTGTTCTTGCCAATTACTTTCAAATTAATATTATTTAAGTTTTTAAATTATAAAGAATTTATTATTTATTATATGTTGCAGTGTTATTCACTGACCACAAACTATTTATCTACTGTTCATATCAACTTTACTATAAAACGCCATCTACGGAGAAACCACAAAATTTTTTTTTTTTTAAGAAATTCACTAAGTGAAATGTAATTCGATGACCTTGTTTTATATACATTTTTATAAAGATAAAATTTTTGTTTCTAGAACATAATACAACATATAATATTCAAAACAAATTGGAACATTGAAAATGTCTTGAATTTTCGACTTAAGTGCTTTCAGATTTGCTTAGAAAATGAACATATCCATTCTAATTTTGCACTAAATCTAATTAACGTTAATGCGCTGAGGTTGTGTGAAAAAGAAGTATTTTTTTAACTTAACAACAAACAAAATATATTTCCACAAACTGTATGCATATATAAAAATTATATATACATATATAATTATATATATACAAATATTTATATAATTTAGATATATAATCACATGTTTCCACACTATTCACAATGTTAGGAATAAAGGGTATATTATGTTTGTTAAATTGTTTGAACTCTTAAAAACGCAGTAAGAATGAGTAGTCTGAAACTATGTATGTTATATATATATATATATATTAAACATTGTTTAAATATATGACAGAAAATATCAAAAAAAAAATGTTTATGTCATACATTTTAATTCGAAAAGCTGCTAGTACCATTATTTAATATTTTATAAAAAAAAAAGAAATTTTTTACATACAAAAAGAAATATATAAATTTGTTTCCTTTTTTTTACCATGTTGATCAAAAATATATAGGTATGTGTCATTGATTTAATTAGAAAAAATGTACCCATAACATTGAATTTTTTTTTATAAAATAAAACAAATTTTATTAAGTTAAGTTTGCAGACTAATTGGTCAACTTTTTATTGTTAAAAATAAAAATTAATAAAAGAAAACCTCGATTTAACTCGATCAACTTTAGTTTAAAGTCATCATCAGGAAACTAAACATCATATTAAAATACCAATCAACATATTAATATAATATAATATAATAAATATAATATAATATAATATAATATAATATAATATAATATATAATATAATATAATATAATATAATATAATATAATATAGATAAAATAAAAAATATAGTAATATGTTATAATAAAAAAAATTAAAAATAACATAATAAGAAAATTTGAAATATAATATAAAAAATATAGCTCAAAACTATAAAAATAAAATATAATAAAAAATATAGCAATATAATATAATAAAAAATATTGAAATATAATAAAATAAAAAATATAGAAATATAAAATAATAAGAAATATAGAAATATAATATAATAAAAAATATAGTATAATATAATAAAAATCTAGTGATATAATATGATAACATGTATAGTAATATAATATAATAAACACTATAGTACTATGACATAATATAATATAATAAATAATATAATATAATAAAAAAAAATATTAAAATATAATAAAATAAAAAATAAAGAAATATAAAATAATAAGAAATATAGAAATATAATATAATAAAAAATATAGTATAATATAATAAAAATCTAGTGATATAATATGATAACATGTATAGTAATATAATATAATAAACACTATAGTACTATGACATAATATAATATAATAAATAATATAATATAATAAAAAAAAATATTAAAATATAATAAAATAAAAAATAAAGAAATATAAAATAATAAGAAATATAGAAATATAATATAATAAAAAATATAGTATAATATAATAAAAATCTAGTGATATAATATGATTACATGTATAGTAATATAATATATATTATAATATAATATAGAATATAATATAATATACAATATAATATAATATAATATAATATATAATATAATATAATATAATATAATATATATTATAATATAATATATATTATAATATAATATAGAATATAATATAATATACAATATAATATAATTTACAATATAATATACAATATAATATATAATATAATATAATATAATAAAATCTTATAATATAATATAAAATAATATATATTATATGGTATGGTATATTATATTATACCATATAAAAAAAGTAGTATAATATAAAAAGTGTTATAATATAATAATAATACGATGTCATACATAAAACAATATTTATAAAGTAATATAATATATAAAATAATATATATAAAGTAATAAAATATATATCATAATATAATGTAATACATAAAATAATGAAATGTAATGTATAATATATAAAATAATATAATATATTATATTATAAATAATAATACTACATTTTATTATAAATATAATAATAATATAATAAATATAATATAATATAAATATAATATAATATATATTAAATAATGTAGTGTGTAAAATAATATAATTAATGTGTATAATATATATTAATATAATGTAATAATAAATTATAATTAATGTAAAATAATTAATATATATAATATAATTTGATATATTAAATATAATATATTTAATTTGATTAAAACGAGTATTTGTATCGGTGTAATAAGAGTTTTATCGACACGAATTACATATTTAATAAAAAAATTATATGTATATAATATAATTGCTTATTTATTACTAAATATATATAATCAATTTCAACATAATATTGATAAATAATTATAGCTGATAATATATATATGTATATATTATTAATAATATAATATATATGTAATATAAATAAAACTAATATATATAATATAATATATAATATGTATAATAAAATATGTAATATGTATTATAAAACATGTAATATGTATAGTAAAATATGTAATATGTATAATATAATATATAATATCTATAATATAATATATAATATCTATAATATAATATGTATAATAAAATATATAATATGTATAATATAATATATATAATGTAATATGTAATATATAATATATATAATGTAATATGTAATATATAATATATATAATGTAATATGTAATATATAATATATATAATGTAATATGTAATATATATAATATAATATATATAATATGTATAATATAATATATATAATATAATATATATAATATAATATATATAATATAATATATATAATATAATATATATAATACTAATATATGTATATAATATATATATATAATATATATAAAACTAATATATATAATATAATATAATATAATATAATATAATATAATATAATATAATATAATATAATATAATGTAATATAATATAATATAAAATTTTGCTACAACTTCTAATATTTGTCTTCAATCTAGCACAGTTACTGTAAACTAAAGCAAAAAAATGTAATATATTTATAATATAAGTATAATAAAATAAAATATATTTTATAAAAAATATAAATTTAATAAAAAAAAAATTAGAGTGATTGGCAAACAGTTTATTCCTTTTTAAACTGCCTACGTGAAGGCATTGAAACTTATATCTGTTTTTCTACTTATGAGTATTTGAAACATAAAATTTCTTTGATTTGAATTTTATGTTCAATAAAAAAATAAATGGCTATATTTGCAAATTTAAATTAAAGAATTTATTTTTAAATACAATCAAACTTCACTATTAAATTTTAAGGGTACACAATCACACACACCACATAATTTTTATCGCATTCAATTTAATTTACTTGTGGTTTCTCGTACTCATGTATGCATATTCATTGTGTGATCATGCCTTTTTCAGATGCATATTATACCTCATAATAAGATAGCTAAACCACTTTAATAATATTTATAATATGCATTAATAATAACATGTAGAGATGCGTAAAGACATTTCTGGAGTATATAAAATAGATAGTGGGTGAACTCAATATAATACAAAACTCCACACATACAAACCACATAGTGGCTCACATGCTAATATAAAATTATTTAAAAGATACTTTTTAAAATTTAACATAATGATTAGCC